CTCTCGGATGATGATTCCATCTCTTTCTCTCCCTCTCGTGTGAGAATCGCACTGTATCCTCGAGCTTCTGGCCATCGAAAGATCATCCATCGTCAAGTTCAAGAAGGAAGGAAGCTCTCTTAATCGTTTCGTCCATTGCTGGAGACGAGCAAGAGATAGAAAGAGAGAGGGGGAGCGATATCTAGATTGTGCGCCATGGAGTCAGTCGAGGCCGTGGGATCGGCACCGTCGCATCCATCACCGTTCTTCCCGCACGGAATTCGCATCACCTGGTTGGACGTGGCGGCGATGATCGCCGCTTACCTCGTCTGCCACTTCCTCCGCTACCACAACGCGAAAGGCCCGCTGGTGTGGCCAATTGTGGGGATGATCCCGCAGCTCTCGCGCAACTTCAAGCAGGGATACGACTGGGTCACGGGCATCCTCGTCCAAACCGGCGGCACTTTCACCTTCATCGTCCCCTGGATCCCCAGCCTCAACGTGGTGGTGACGAGCGATCCCCAAAACGTGGAGTACATCCTCAAGACCAACTTCGCCAACTTCCCCAAGGGCAAGATCCTCCGCGCCGGCTTCCACGATCTCCTCGGCAGCGGGATCTTCAACAGCGACCACAACACCTGGCTGCTCCAGCGCAAGCTCGCCAGCCTCGAGTTCTACACCAAGTCGTTCCGCGACCTGACCGCCAGATCCGTGCAGCGCCTCGTCCACCGCCGCCTCCTCCCAATTCTCCGCCACGCCGCCGCCACCTCCGCCACCATTGACCTCCAGGACGTGATGCTGCGCTTCACCTTTGACAACATCTGCATCCTCGCGTTTGGCGCCGACCCGGGGTGCCTGTGCGCGGGGCTGCCGCGGGTGCCGTTCGCGCGCGCCTTCGACGTCGCCACCACGCTCACGCTGCTGCGCTTCACGGTCCCGGAATTCAGCTGGAAGCTGGACAGGCTGCTGGGCATCCGGCGCGAGCGCAAGCTGCGCGAGTGCCTCAAGACGATCGAGGCGTTCGCGGCGGACGTGATCGCCAAGCGCAAGGCGGAGATGGCCGACGATCGGCCCTCGCGGCGCAGCGATCTACTGTCGTGCTTCCTGAGTTCCACGGACCCGGCCACCGGCAAGCCCAGCTACTCGGACAAATTCCTCCGCGACGTCGCCATCAACTTCATCCTCGCCGGCCGCGACACCTCCTCCGTCGCGCTCAGCTGGTTCTTCTGGCTCCTCCAGTCCAACCCGCGCGTGGAGGCCGCCATCCTGGACGAGCTGCGCACCGTCGTACGGGGCTCGGGCAGGGGATGCGTACGGGCCTCCGACCCCGAGGTACGAAACTCGGACTGTCTCGTACGGAAGATCCCCGGAGAGGACGAGCGGGAGGAGGAAGAGGAGGAGGATGGCGGCGAGGATGGCGATGGAATCCACCAGTTCAGCGTGGAGGAGCTGCGATCGATGCAGTACCTTCACGCGGCGCTATCGGAATCGCTGCGGCTGTACCCGTCGGTGCCGATCGACAACAAGGAGGTGGCGGAGGACGACACTCTCCCCGACGGCACGCGCGTCAAGAAGGGGAGGCGAGTGCTCTACTCGATCTATTCCATGGGCCGGATGGAGAGCATCTGGGGGCCCGACTGCCTCGACTTCCGGCCGGAGCGCTGGATCAAGAACGGCTTCTTCGTGCCCGAGTCGCCCTTCAAGTACACGGCCTTCAATGCCGGTCCGCGCCTGTGCCTGGGCAAAGACGTGGCCTATCTGCAGATGAAAGCCATCGCAGCTTCCATCCTCAGCCGATTCAGCGTCCGCGTCGTGGACGGCCATGTCGCCAAGCAGAAGCTGTCGCTCACGCTCTTCATGCGGAATGGCCTCCCCGTGACGCTCCACCATAGACCTCTCTTTGATGATGGCGATCGTCACTCTCCTTAGCTTGATCTTCTCTTCTAAGTTCTAGATCCTCTCCTCCCTCTCATGAGTCATCTTCTGAGTTCTAACGCACCACACACAAGCTTTCATCCGAGAAATCCTCCGAGAGATCCCACAATATAAGCAGAGCTGGTTCTCCATTCCATCCATCCATCGCCCATAAATCCACCATAAGTCCAGAGGCCGTATACGTCAGCACCCAAGCTTGATTTTCACCCAAGTACATCTGTCTCCGGTCAAATCTCTCTCTCTCTCTCTCTCTCTCTCTCTAGGTAGACTATCTTAGCTTTTGCTTTTGTTTGTTCTTGTGGGGTAAGATCTTTCTTTCTCTCTCGTGCTCTTTCTCTTTCACATCCAAGAGCAATAAAAACGAACTCCAAAGTTTCCTTCACCTGTACCACACAAAGCGTGGGTACGGCTCGGCAAAAACTCACGTACGGTACGATTGTCACGATTGCATTGCATGCAGCTAAGCACAGCAAGTAAACTGATTTGCGAAGATTTATGGAGATTTGAATCGAAAGCGTGCCACACATCCCTTTTCTGTTTTTTACTTTCCCAGTGACAATCCCTTTGCTGGAGCAATGAAGTCGTTGCTTCTATCACAGACAGAGCAATCTTCGCCTCGCGAGCAACATTCCAGCTGTGAAAATACGCGACAACCTGTATAGTTTCCACTTAAAGGTCGGAATAGACAGCCACACAGTCTCAGTGATCAAGTATCATTTGAAAGTCGGGCGTTTTACTCTAGGTTTTTTTATTTCCTATAATACTTCCAATCTAACATACATATTATCTGGCCAACATTTTCAAACCAAAGTATATTTTCTTTAGTTGTACTATTATTGTCTGTGGATGGTTATTTACATAGATAAATTTCATACATTTTTTTCTGGCGGCAACCAAATTTTTCATGGTGGCATTCACTATCTATCTTGCTTAAACTCGAATGATCGCTAAAAACCCTATCAAATATTATAGTAGCTGTACTTGTAGATGCCAAATTGAAGGATCTGCTGAGGGAGGTTAGGTGGACATTATCTTTGACTATAACATCAATTGGCTAATCCATTTGCAAGCATGAATTAGAAGAAATACTAAGTTTCTATTATACTAGTAATACGCAGTGACTTGACAGTTTCCCAACTAAATAAATATTAGTTAAAATCCTAAACATGTTAAGTGTGCAATTGAATGAAAGGGCATCATTTTGTGTGAGATTTGAGCTATACAAAATCTGTATGTTCCAACCATAGTAAAAAGTTGAATTAATATTCCTAAACAAGTATATTCTAGTTTATTTTACCAATCTTTAGATATTTGTGTTTAAATTTTAATTCATGTTTTTTATTTTCTCATCTCCTCTTAGTGGCAAGAAGCAAAGCTCAATCTGAATGGGACTCTCTGAGCTCTCAGGATAAGAAAGGATAGACCTCCCAACACAATTACCAAATCTCCAAATTCAAAGAGAAAAAGCATACTAAGTGAGTGAGTAAATTCTCAAGACCCATGAGAATTTAAGCACCAACCAGGCTTGCTGGTAATAACACAAACAGATTTATGGTTTGCAAAGTAGTTCAAACTTTCCTCTGTAAGTCACAAAACTTCCATATTTCATGTTTTGAGCACATTATATCAGGCTCACATTCAATTTGCCTTTGCACAGCTGTCCTGGGAAAGAATAAAGCCAAAAGAAATCCATGCCCACACACTTTTTATATAGCTACACTATGTCACTAGAAAACATGTTAATAATCTCAAGTCAAAGAAGAAAAATCCTAAAACTTCTCAATATAAGGTGTGTCAAAGACACATCCATACTAATCACTAGGTATAAACCCATATAAAAGAGCTCAACAAGGAAGGCGATTGAGATGGAGTGGGAAGTGAAGCAAAAAGAGACTTGTGTTGTTAAGGATGCAACTTGTCAGTCTCTTTGTTTTCCAGGAGTTCTTTTGTTTGAAACAATGCCGAAGAATTTATGACCGACCAGACTTGCATGAGAACACAAAAATCAATTAACTCTTTGAAGGATCAAAACACTTCGAGTTCTCGTCCAGTTGTAACAAATTTTCTTGTCTAGAATCTCACCAAGAGAGAACAAAAACATTATGAGAAAGCCAGTGGTTGTGCTTGTATTACCGGTTTCTCGGACTCATCCCAGAGCTTGCTCTTCCATGGAGGCAACGATGCATGCTCAGCTTCACCGAGATGTCAATGGGGAACTCTTTACACACCTCATATGATCTCAAAAGGATCTTGAACGTGGAACAGTTAATCTAGAAAGCATAGAACTTTTAGAGAACTTTCTCGTGCACTTAACCGTTCTTGAACATTTTCGGACACGTCACGAATTGACTCGAGTTTGACTAGCGCCTTCGTCACAGCTATGGTTGACTCAAATTTGACCAGTTCTAGTCAACATTAGTTGACTAAACCCAAGATAACCACATAAATTAATTTCATTAACCTGGGTCCTCTTTGCGTAGGGGAGTGAAAATGACCTTGGGTTGCTCCCAGATGCCCTGACTCAATGCCAATGCATACCAGATGGTATCAAGCTGGTGCTTGAGAATTCAAAAGATAAAATCATCTTATATATGGCAGATTTGTAGTCAACCAGCACTTGTTTTAACATTTGCAAGATTAGAACCGATGCAATGCAATGGAAGTGGCACACCACCTTCATGGAGTTTACAAACTTTTGTTTACCATTCCTACAGCAGTGTAAAAGCAGTGAAGAGTTTGGGAGATAGAAGGCAATTTACCATTTCAGCAGTCAGGAGGCAGCAGAGGACGATTCTTAAATTCGTATGATGAGTCCTCAGCGAAGTGTTGGTTCTCCTCAGCTACTGAGAGAGTTACGAGTTATCAGGCCATCCGCTAGAAAAGGATCTTCTAGCAAGATCATAGATAACCAAGCATTGGGTAACGGTAGAAAAAAGAGTCTCAATGTCTGAAACAACAACGTTTTGCTAAACCTTAACCCTCGCCCTTTCGCGCCTAAATTTTAAAAACCTTATTAAGAATATTCTTGTGCTTAAACAAACATTCCAATTATTTAAGATTCCTTTAGGGAAGTAGAATCCCCTGTTTTAGGTTTTGTGATGGTCATGGCGTGCTCGTCGTCGAGCTGCAGCTCCCTGGCGCAGCCGCTGGCGGAATTCTCGAGGAAATCTCCGTCGGCAAAGATCTCGCAGAGGTCCGTGATCCAGATGCCGATTGGAATGCGGCGGAGTGGTGTCTCTATCTCTCTGGCGCGGGGTTTGAATCCGGGGTGTGCCCTGGCCATGGCTGTGGCGCAGGAGGAGCTCAGGGATTCCGCTGATTCGAGCAAGGCCGGCGCGGTGCTGCTGGAGGTGAGGGATCTCAAGGCGCGGGTGGCGGATTCCGAGACGGAGATCCTGCGAGGCGTGGATTTGACAATTCGCGAAGGTGAGGTGCGTTTTTCGGCGTTCTAGTTTCCATTGCGAGGTAGCGAAGAGTTTGCAAAGTAGTGGAGCTGATTGCGTGAACTCTCTCACAGGTCCATGCGATCATGGGAAAGAATGGGTCGGGAAAGAGCACATTTGCGAAGGTAAGCTCTCTTATTCTTTTTGTACCTCGTTTGTTGATGCGTGTTTTCCAGGTTCTCGTTGGTCACCCCGACTACGAAGTCACTGCCGGCAGCGCGGGTTTTAAAAACGAGAATCTGTTTGACAAGGAGCCGGAGGAGAGAAGTCATGCCGGGTTGTTTATGAGCTTCCAGTCGCCGATCGAAGTGCCTGGCGTTAGCAACGACGAGTTCTTGAGGATGGCGTGCAATGCCAGGCGAGCGGCTTTGAATAAGCCGGAGCTTCCTCCGCTCGAGGTTTGTGTGATTTTTGTAGATGGTGAAACTTTAGGTGAGATTGTCTGCTATTGCAGTTCTTCGCGCACCTTATGCCGAAGCTCAAAGCGCTGAACATGAGCCCGACGTTCTTGAACCGGAACGTGAACGAGGGATTCAGTGGTGGCGAGAAGAAGAGGAACGAGATATTGCAACTCGCGGTACTGCGACTTGTGTTTTTTTCTCTCTCTCTCTCTTTCTCTCTTTTTTAAGACCGTTTGTTCGTACCTTTCGTTTGCCAGGTTTTAGAAGCAGATTTGGCACTGCTCGATGAGATCGACTCGGGACTGGATGTGGATGCATTACGAGACGTGGCAAACGCTATCAACGGCCTCAGAACAAGCAAGAATGCAGTGCTGATGATCACTCACCACGAAAGACTACTCGACTACATCCACCCAGACTATGTCCACATCATGGTACAAACGCCCCCATAAAAAAAATTCAATTCTTGATGCTTCGTGTTTGTGTACTCGAACAGGACAACGGGAGGATTGTAAGAACAGGAGATTCATCTTTAGCTCAAATTGTGCACAAGGAAGGCTATACCGCACTCTGATGAGAAAGTTTTTGCTACCATATTTTCGATCATAACTTATGTTTTGCCTTTAAGCAGCTCTGTCACGAGAGCTGAAAGGAAACACTCGAAAGTTTTGTGGAAGCCACCGTCAGGAGCTATGGAGGTGGTCAGCCAAATGCTTTTCACCAGAATCTAGAAAGTACGAGGCCTTTTTGATCGAAACACCTGCAGCTGAGTCGACAGAATCTCTTGCCTCGCGGCTGTTGATCGTCAGCGATTTCCAGGCACACATCAAGGAGGGCGTCTGTGACTTGCCTGGACTCTGGGAGGCATTTCTTCCGGCAAATGTCCGCCAGAGTAGCCGATGAAATCTAGAAACACGTCGGCCGCGCCACTCTCGAGGAGAATCACGGATAATCTCGACGAGCTCGTCAGTCACGGCAGAGTCACCGGAATGAAACCACACTAACGAACGTATAAAAGTTGCCGGGCAGACCGAATAGCACGTCCAGCACTCCGATCGACTTCCCGACACTGGCAGCAATGGATCCTAAAAAGTATAAAAGTTGCCGGGCAGATGGACTCGGCTTGTCCGAATAGCACGTCCAGCACTCCGATCGAAGTGAATCCTACAAATCAAAAGTAACAACATGCTGACGGAATATGAATACTATATGATCACCTAGGGTTATACCATTTTGCAACGAGGGTTTCTCCCTCTCACGCTTGCCCACGATCCGTGCAAGAGGCTGGGCAGCAATTCGCCAGGAGCTCCTGGAAATCTCGGTTGATTAGCAGCGGCATTCGCACTCTCTGCTATTATCTCAAGAATGCTGCGTCGCCGTGACCGAAGAAAGCTCCAAGATCTAAGGTACCAGCCGGAAGCTCAAAATTTCTCGGGTGGCGATGTTACGCGTGCAAAATGTTCCAGGTACGTTATGGAAAACCTCGAGCTAACCTCGTGCAGGTCAATCCACGGAAAAAAGCAAATGGTGCTGTAGCGTTTGCAATGCGGTCACCAATGGAACGCTCTGGCGCTGCAAAGAAAATTCGAGAGCTGGTCCAAACGCTGAAGTACTCCACTCTAGCGCACCAGCAAGATCACTTTGAGCCGAATGACGTGGGAGATCTCACCACACAAGAGTATGAAGGTGGAGAAAGTATGTCCATGGTAATGAAACTGAGCCAAGCAAATGGACCGAGTTCTTAGAGGCCGGGGTGAGTCTCTCTGATAAATTGCTTTTGTTCTCTTCTCCTTTTTCTGATTGCAACACTTCGCAGGATTCACAGTTTGAAGCTCGTGCGGAAAGGAAAGTGTCTCTGTGGAGAACGACCGGAATTCGGGAAGATGCGGCACTGAGTCTGAAACAGGGACCGCAGAAAGCAGAATGCTGGTGGAGCTAGCAGAAGGACTGAAACAAGGACAGTTTCGAGCAAATGGAGGAAGTATCTGGGGACCGATGAAACAAAGAGGATCGTGATACGGATTTGCAGGGCAGAGCTCAGTTTCTAGCAGAAAGTGGTTCCTTCCGGAGAATCTAAGCGTACCTGAAGATGCCTCGCGGACGAACTTGTGACAGACGACATTCATCCGTCGTTTCTTTAGCCAGGCGCGAGAAGGTGGAGTCAAGGGAGTTTATTTATTTTCACAAGGATTCACAACAGGCGGATGATACAGAGCTTGATCGAGTCGATGTAAAAGTACATGATGCGAGGCTCCATCAGTCCTTCGTCGGAGAGAGTTTTGGCAAGCTTCATATACAACGGCACCATGTCAGCGCTCCGCAAAGACCTCAGCACGACAAGCATCTCTGGCACCTCCGGCCGAAGTCCTCGCTCCAACATCTTAGACATGGCCGAAGCTGCCTCAGCGGGATTACCACCTTTGATGAAGCCTCCAATCAGCACGGAGAAGGTTAACTTGGTCGCTTCTCTTCCCGACGCTTCCATCTTTCCAAAGATCCGATAAGCGTCTTCGGCTCGGTTATTGAAAGCACATATGCCGAGTATCGTGTTGAACATGGACGGAGCTGGGGACCGTCCTGCCAGCTTCAGCTTCCACAAGCTACGCTCCGCATCGAGACCTTTGCCTGCCAGACAGTACATTGCTAGCAGTCTTTCGTAGATCGTCGGCATAAGTTCCTGCGGCTGCTCGTCCTCGGCTGCCCATTGAGTAAACTGCTCGGCTTGACGATGCAACGATGCCTCGTAAGTTCTTATGGACTTGTCGCTGCCTTCGATGCTAATGACGCCTTTCTTCTGATACTTTCGCAGCTGGTGAACAGCAAAGCTCAGCTGCTCTTGTTCGTGAACTGCAGCCAGCATCGCAGCGCTGTACGTTGTGCCTTTCAACAGTAGACCACCATTTCGGACCTCGGTCACTAGTCGAATCGCCTGCTTGGATTGCTTGCTGGAGACCATCTTTACGATGAGATATTGTAGAGGATCGTCAGCTCGGTCTTGGTACCACTTGGAGCTCATCACCTCCTTTACAAAAGTAAGTGCCTCGGACGCCTTTCCTTTTTCCCAGTAGGCAGCTACTATAGAGTGCATAATGCGCGATTCTGGAGTTAGGCCCACGCAGTACATGTCTTCTAACAGCGCTTTCACTTGTTCCACAGGTTTCTCTTGTTCCACCAGCTTCATCGCCCAATTCACCATGATCGACATCATCAATTGGTGTGTGTCATTTTCCACTCGGTTGGTTTTTTGCATCCACTCGAAGACTTCCAGCGCAAACCAAGAATCTCTACCTTCTTCCGCAAAGTAAGAGAGAACGAGCTGCAAGTCCTTGGCTGAGAGCTGTTCGCCGATGTCATTCAACACCTCACCAGGTTCTTTCAACAGCCCCTCTAGCTGAAAGATTGTCTCTTGGAGAGCGTCATTTTTCTTTCTCTGACCGTTACCATTGCTTACAGGGAGGTTTCCAGGTGATGAAGCTCTGATCAAGAGGGATCTACCATGCTTCAAGGGACTTACAGGGATTCGCAAACCTGGTAATAGCGATCTTGCGATTCTCGGTGCGGCCGCACAGCCGAGGTGAGAAATTGCTGCTTTGCAGCCGAGGCTTTCCATGGGAAAGTATAGCCTCACTATTCCTCGCAGGCCACCATCGCTTGCGGCCCTAAATCACGTAACGCTCGCGCAACGCAAGCCAAGTCAAGAACCAACAAACGAGGTAATTTGGCGGCTTTCTTTTTTTACCTCAATGCGAAAGTGCCGCGTGGCTTTTTATATTTTCAGCCAAGTGGATCGAGAAAATCCGAAGTGGAAGTGGAGTACACGGCAAACTTTTAACACAGCCTCTTCTGAAGCTTTGTTAGATTCGGCCATGTAGGATACCACTACAAGAGTTGGATTTTTGCCATTAGGTGATTAAAGTAAAAGATGCCATGAAATTCCCAACCATGACGTGCGAGGTATTTGTTTGCTTTCTATGACGTAGAAAGTCACTCACCATTTATGTTAGCGGCATTGGATGAGCGTGAAGGCATTCTACTGCAAGGAGTTTTCCAAGGGTCGTATTTGTTTCACACTTCTAAAGTCCGAATAGTATTTTTACTGGTGAAATATGATTCCTTTTGAAAAAATTTCGTTCGCAATAATGTACCAAGAAAATTTCCCTCTTTTATTAAGTTAGAGATTCAAAGAGCGCTGAACTAGTGGTATTTAAACTGGTGGGGTGAAAATATAGAGCTTGGTAACCACCTTCTCAACAATGTTGAGACCATAAGTTTGCACTGGGGTTGCAATTTCAATGCCATTGATAATTGCAGGATTGTTATCATCTGGTAACCCACCAAAACCGACTCCACCAGTAACAGGGAGTCTTCGAGTGGGGAGCTGCAAGTTTACAGGTCCCTGGATCTCAAAGTGTGATCCATTAGTGAAATAAAATGTGCCTGTAATGAAGAGGAGGTCTGGTGTTTGGCGCCATACAGACTGGAATCCTATGAAGCTTCCAATCTGTTTTGAGTTGTATTCGGGGCCCTCTGTCATTTTGTAGTTGAACTCTAGAGTTGTGGAGTTGGGAGCAGCAGGTTTGATGGAGATGATGAGAGAGGAATTGGTCTGCTCTTGTATGATGTGGAAGTAGAAATTGAGGGTCAGCTTTCTGGGCTTGTTGCAGCACTTTGGATCGTCATGAGATATTGCCTGTTGAAAGAAAGGAAAACATTTGGCAACAACTTAGCAAGGGATATTTGAGCTTTACTCACCATTGTTAATGTCGCTGCTAGGAGAAGTGTGATCAGGAGTTTAAAGCAAGACATTGCAGTGTCTGGAAATTATGTGCCACTCTCAGAACCAGCAGGCGTCCTCGTTTTAAAGATCAATACATGATCTGATTTGATTGTAATGTAGGTTGTGTTTGTTGAGGTTGGAATAGTCGAGTTGGAGAACTCTTTCTTGGCTTGGACTCTTCACCTTGTCGCACCTGACTAAAGAAACGAGGGATGAATGTCCTCTGTCACAAGTTCGTCCGCGAGCTCTGTGTGCAAGGCATCTTCAGGCACGCTTGGCTGCTGCGGATGGAACCACTTTCGGCTACAAGACTGAGCTCTGTCCGTATCAGGCTCCACGTACTGGCTCTTTGTTTCATCGGTCTCTAGATACTTCCTCCATTTGCTCGAGACTGTCCTTGTTGTGCTAGAAGACTGGAGTCCACCAGTATTTTGGTTTCTCCACTCATCCAAACAGCGCCCTGTTTCAGACTTCGTGCCGCAGTTGCTCCATGTTCCCGAGTTCCGGTCGTTCTTCACAGGAACATTTTCCTTTCCCAGGTATTCAGCTCCGTGCAGCTTACTACCAGTCGCAAAGGTCGTCTTTTTGGTGTTCTTCTCGCTTGAAGCTGAATGTGCTTTGAGCGGACCATCAAGCCCATCACATTCGTAACACGCTACTTCGTCGTGCAACCTCTCCGTTCTTTTCCGTTTCATGGCACTCTCTGGGATAAAAGTCACGTACTTCGGATCCTCGTCACCAGCACGAGATTCAACCTGTGAGTCCTACCAAGTGTTGCGATTAGATAAAGGAGAGAACAAAATAATCAACTAGAGACTCACCTCGGTCTCCAAGTACTCGGCCCATTTGCTTGGCTTAGTTTCGTAACCATGGACATTCTTTTCTCCAACTTCGCTTTGTCCATTCTCTTGTGTGGTGAGATCTCCAACGTCGTTCGGTTCAAAGTGATCTTGCTGCTGCGCTAGAGTGGAGTAATTCAGCGTTTGGACCAGCTCTCGAATTTTCTTTGCAGCGCCAGAGCTTCCATAGACCTTGGTGACCGATTGCTTCTCATTGCAAACGCTACAACACCATTTGCTGCTGGATTTCTTCCGTGGCTTCACCTGCAAAGCGAACGCGAGGTTAGCTCGATCAAAAGCTCAAGAAAAGATTCTCAAGTACCTGGAACATTTTGCACGCGTAGCATCGAAGCGCCAAAAACTCCGCCATCGAGAAAACCCTAGAAATTTCCCGCCCTCGAGAAAAAGCTAGGGTTTAAGAGTTCTTCTAGGATCCGGATGAGCGTCAATCGGTTCTGCCCCTACTGGTACCTTAGATCTTGGGGCTTTTCCTTCACCCTGTGTGCTTCTTCTCCAGCGAGAGCCTCCTGGATCCCGAGGAAGATGCCGAGAGAAAGATCCTGCTCTGGTCGTGCCCAGATTGCCCTCACAAGGTGAGAGATTTCGCCCCTAAAATCACAATCCCAGTGAGATTCTTGGGCCCAAATCGATTGAGCAGGAAGAAGCCGCGGACAACGTGACATACCACAAGGTGATCCAGAAGCCATCCGAGGACAAGACGATGCCCGCGATCCTCCCGCGCACTCGCAACGCGCGATGCCCCAAATGCGGGCAATGCGACGCCAGATTCTGGAAGGTAAGAATCAAGATCGCGCCGCGATTGCGATTGCCGCTGCTAATCGACTGGAATTTCCAGGCCAGGCCTCCTGGCGAGCTGCTGGTGAGCCTCTTCTTCGCGTGCTGCCACTGCACGCATCGATGGCAGGAGCGCCCGGAAGAACACGCCGTGTGAGGGCGGCGAGAGAGAGAGAAAGAAAGAAAACCCTCGACACGAGCTCGAAGAACACGAAAAGCATTTAGAATGATTCCCTTTGAAAAACCCTAGAAAGGCGAGGACGAGCCGAGAGCTAGGGTTTGTAGGGCATGGCGCATTGCGATCGATGGCGGCGATGAGGAGCGATGGCCGGCATGGAGGTGGACGACGGCCCCGCTAGGGTTGGCGGCAAGCGCCACATTTCCAGCCATCGCATCCCCCAGGTGTGTAGATACTGGCAAGAAGGCCGATGCAACAAGGGCGATAGCTGCCAGTGGCTCCACTCGTCGGGCCCTGGAACATCCGGGAGGCTCGATGGCGATAATTTTCTCGTAGGAAGCAAGCGGCACAACAATGTAGTTGAGGGGCGGCGATGGGGGAAGCCTCGCGGGCGGAGAGGCGGAGGCGGCGGCGGTGGCGGTGGCGGCCGGGGGATTTTCACAGACGGTGGGAGACCACGTCCCAGGGACAAGCCTTGTATATTTTGGATGAAAGGCGACTGCAATCGTGGTAGCCAATGCAATTTTCTTCATTCCTACAGCACTACTACAGAGATGGAGATGATGACCCAGCTCACAGGCCACACCAAGGTAGACTCGGACTTATCTCTTTCTCGTTTCTCTTGTTCTTCGCATCGGTGTTTGATCGCTTTTACCTCTTCGCAGGCCGTGAAAGGAATCGCATTATCTTCTTCGTTATACACGGGAGGCCAGGACAAGTCCGTCAAAGTGTGGAACAGCGACGACGGAAAGGTTTGCGTCCAGATGCTTATAAGAGTTTTCGTATTGACTTTGCTATCTCTTCCCCTTTGGTTGCAGTGTACAACCACTGTTCCTATGGGATCTGAGGTGGAGTCACTACTTATCGCTTCTGGATGGCTGTTTGTCGGGCTTCCGAACGAAGTCCGGGTGAGAATTCTTTTTTCTGTCATGACAGTGCTTTAACTTCGATGCCTCATGCGTAAAATTCTGTTCTCGCAGGCATGGAACATGCAAACCAATGCTCAGCAAAGTCTGGACGGCCCCAAAGGTCAAGTTTATGCTTTGGCTGTCTGCGAGGATACTTTGTTTGCCGGTTCTCAAGTAAGTAAGCCAATCTTTCAAAGCAAAACCGAAGTGGATGGTTTGCTAACAAGATGTTTTGAAGGACGGAAGCATTCTGGCTTGGAAATACAACACGGCGGTAAATGCTTTCCAGCCGGCGTATGGTTTGTATGGCCACGCCGGTGCTGTTGTAACACTGCAAGCTGCTGGCGGCAGACTCTATTCCGGGTCCACGGATAAGTCCATTCGGGTAGTGTATCAGATTGGTTTGGTGTGAAAAAACGAAAGTATTACATTTTCATGAACAGGTATGGAACATCGCCACCAGAGAGTGCTTATTTACTCTTCATGGCCATTCTAATGTAGTTATGAGCCTGCTTTGCTGGGAGCAATTTTTGTTATCGTGTTCTTTGGACGGGTATATAAAAGTAAGTCGTCTCAGAGTCTTGCTAGCGATGTGTTTTGACGCTGTTTTCGTTTTGCTCCAGGTCTGGGCGGCCACTCCAAGTGGATTAGAAGTCACCTACACGTACCCTGAAGATGATCAGGGAGACGAACTCGATGTAAGCTTTGCAAGTTCTTGCAAGTTTTTTTCGTTTATGTGAATCTTCTCTTTTCGCTCAGGGTGCTCTGGCTTTGTGCGGTACAGTCGATGCGCAAGGGAAGCCAGTGCTCTTGTGTTCATACAACGACAACACTGTGAGACTGTATGATCTTCCAACGTAAGTTCTCCAGCAAACTCTGGGCTGCGAGTCACTCAAACTTACCAGGCGCTGCTTTGTTCGCAGTTTTAACGAGCGAGGAGTTTTGTTCTCTCGAGACGAAGTGAGAGTTTTGCAAGGCGGCCCTGGAGGGCTGGTTTTCTCCGGAGAGAGTTCTGGGGATGTCAAGGTGTGGTGCTGGACCAAGGCCATTTCGTCTACAGGCTGATTGATTGGCGATATAGATTTGCGAAAAAATGGGAATAAAAAAGAGAGCAAAGGCCAACCTATTGTTTGATTTTTAGGGCAGAAGCTATAGTGGTGTCGTCATGGCGATGGCACCAGCGAGTGGGGCGGTGGCAGCGCCGGCGAATGATTCGGCGCTCGATCCTGTCGCGCAGTGCGCTCTGGCGACGCTCAATGTGATGCGGCTGCTTCACGATTCGTCGCCGTGCAAGGTTCGCAAGCTTTGGCTCGATTAGCGATGATTTCTTGCAAATTCTGCAGAGCTTAGAAAGGCTGCCAAGGGATTTGTCGGCAAAGCTACCGAGCATCAGGAACACAGGTTCTGTAAGTCCTCGAAGGTCGATTTTTTCTTTCGAGCTAACAGTCTTTTCCAGCTTTTGCACCAAATGCCAGCAGTTGTGATTTCTCTCGATACTTGCCTTGACAGTGCCGTTCAAAAGTATGGTTTTCCTTCTTCCGGAAAAGAGATTCTTAACGACTTCTTTTTCTTGCTAGTGCTCGACTACTCAAGGATGTGAGACGACTGCTCTCTTCTGAAAATTCTGGTAACCTTTTCAAGTGGTTCTTGAGAAAATGCTAACTTTCGGGACAGAAAAGTCACTGGAGTCTGATAGAAACGAAGACGCGAGCCAGGAAAAACAGGTAACTTCGATTAATTAGAGTGCAAAGAATGAGAGTGAATGGTTTTCTTGATGACGAAGATCTGTGCTAGAGCTTTCCAATCAGTGACTTACCTTGACATCGATCTCCAGGATGACTGAACCACCACTGGCGGACGCGGTCTTGATGGTAGCGTAGCCCCGAGCATTGCGAAACTGGCCGGTTCCTCCGATAACAGCGATCTCCCGGACAGCCTCCGAGGTGTCGTCGGATCCGTGGAAGCTCAGCGTGCTCCCCTTGAAGTCGCCCGTCTGGAACACGGCACTGAAAGTGAGGAGCAAGCTCCTCCCGTCCATGGACGCGACGATCCAAGTCCCCTGGCCCCTTCCAATCGCCGGAGACGATGCGTCGGCCCCCTGAGTGAGCGGATCATCGATGACGCTCACGGTGCCGAAGCCCGCGGTTCCAGGCCCCGCGACCATGACGACGCTCTGGTTTGGAGGAGTCATGTTGTCGTGCATGTAGAAGCGGAGGCTCGTGTCCTTGGCAGCGGCAGCAGCGATCCAGACGAGAATTGCGACTGCCCAGCAGTGGATCAGGGGTGGAGAGGCGAGCATTCTTACAGATTTTCGATGGAGAACTCCTTGTGATCACGCGCGCTTCGAGAAAGACCAAGCATGCTCTGCTTAAATAATGGAAAGTCTTCTCTCCACTTCTCTCTAGTTTGTGTGGTTTGGTAGAAGTCGAATATGTCGGGTATATGCTTGCGAGGAGCACTCGGGTTCGATACCCGGGGTGGATTTTTGATAACCTAAGGTTTTAAAACCATGGAGCCCTAGCCTCCACTAAATTTTCTTCCTCTCCATGTTCTTCGTTTTATCGCATTGCTGGAGTTCACAACACGACAGTGGCGGCGCAGTGCCGTGCCGTGCCAGATCCAGCCACAGTCGATCCAGCCTACAATCCGAGCTTCTTGCGACGGTGCTTTGATGCGTTTGAGAGGCTCTACACAAAGTCTGGGACAGATTTTTCCTTTTTGGTGCTTTGGTTTTGGATCAGATGATGTTTTTGTAGTCGACTTGATGCGGACAGAGATTAACTTGTCTCTGACAAAAAGGCTTTCTGATGATCCAAGCAATCCCCTCTTGCGCTGTGGTTTTGCTCACATTAGTCACTAGATTCTCGCATGCTTTTCGTTTCGACTCAGTCTAGATCTATTGCACAAAACAGAGAAAGTTACAAATCCGCAAGATTGATCACCGCTAGAGAAGTTTTGGGATCGCCCACAACCTCAGTTCTTCCCATCAGATCAAAACCTCCAGACTGATCATACAAGACCATCTTTGACTGAGTCTTTCACTTCCGTACGATGGTGAATGCTCGCCAAAAGCACGTAAGGAGCAGAGTTTTGGGGATCGGCAAGCATGGCCTGTGACGCCGCCACGCTCCCTCCGCGGCTGTTGTCGTGGCTCCTGCACGATCCCAGCAAGCACTTCCAATCCACACTGTCGGGAACAAAGGGCATGCTCGCGACGAGATCGTGTGCGTCTCGCAAGTGCCCCGCGCGACCCAGCAGATCGACTAAACAGCAGTAGATCTTCTTCCCGGGCGTGGCCATCCCGAAATCCGAAACCATGGACGCGAAGCACGATCGCCCAGATCCAACATCCCCGGTGCGGCTGATCGAAACTAGCACGCAAAGGAAGGAGGTTTCGTCCAGTGGAATGGAGCTCATCTTCATGGAATGTAGGAGATGCGTGGCATATTCGTACTCGCTGCCGTGGTGAGCGTACAGAGCCAACATCGCATTGCAAGAAATCGTGTCCAGCTCCGGCATTTGGATCCACAGCTTCTTTGCTTCGTTGACCAGTCCACGCTGGGTATATGCCGAGAGAATCGCGTTCCAAGATGCCACATTTTTGTACGGTATGTCATGAAACACGGCCTTAGCCTCGTCAAGATCCCCGCTTCTGGCAAATGCCGCCACCATTGAGTTATACGAAACTACGTCCCGGTTTTCAATTAAGTCAAACATTAGCTTTGCCTCTTCAATGTAGCCGCCACCAAGGAATGCTGAGAACATTGCGTCGTAACTTACCAGGTTTTTATCTTCCATCTGATCAAATAAGCTCTTTGCTTCCTCCAGACGGCCGTTTTGGGCATATGCAGACAGCATTGAGTTCCAGGAGACGATATCTTTTGTTTCCATTTGATCAAAGAGGGCCTTTGCATCGCCAACTTTCCCTGCGTGTGCGTATGCCGAGAGCATGCAATCCCATGACACCACGTCCCTCTCTGGCATTGAGTTGAGTAGAGAGTTAGCGAGATCGACATGCCCGTTTTGGGCATATCCATTGAGCAAAGTGTTATACGAGACCAAGTTTTTCTGTGGGATTCTGTCAAAGACTTCTTTAGCTCGATCAGTATGTCCTCTCCGGGCATACGTAGCAAGGAGAGTGTTCCAAGAGACAATATCCCACTCTTGCATTCGATCAAACAGACTGGTGGCTTCCTCGATGCAGCTGCTACCAGTAAGGTTGAGATCATAAGCAGACAGCATTGCATTGTAAGAGACAATGTTCTTTTCTGGAATCAAGGAGAAGAGTCTCTTGGCCTTTTCCATATGCTCGTTCTGCGCATATCCCGTGAGCATCGTGTTCCATGAAATTACGTCCCACTCAAGCATCCGACTGTAAAAAATGTGCTCGGTTTCTTCCAGATTCCCTTCATGGGCATAGAGAAAAAGCATTGCATTCCAGGATACAACATCACTTTCGGGAAAAGCGTGAAGCAATATTTTTGCTTCCGAGACATGTCCGCCTTGGGCATATAACGATAGCATTGTGTTCCACGACACCAAGTTTCTCTCAGGCATTTTGTCAAAGAAGTTCTTGACCTCTTCCAAATGTCCAGACCGCGTATGTGCTCCAAGCATAGTTGTCCACGAAACAATATCCCTCTGTGGCATAAGTCTAAATATTCTTTCTGATTCCAGTACCTTTGAGTTCACCATATAGACTGAAAGGATTGAGTTCCAAGAAAAGTGGTCGTGCTCGGGCATTGAATCAAAGATTCTTATGGATTCCTCTAAGTACCCTCTTTGGGCATATGCAGCTAGCATGGCATTCCATGCTACTAAGTCTCTCTGATCCATCCCATCAAAGAGTTTTTGCGCTTCTTTGAGATGTCCATTTCTGGTATACGCGCAGATCATCATTACCCACGAGAATGGATTCTTCGGTCGAATCTCATTGAAGATTCGGCGGGCATTTTCGACACTCGCACACCTGCCGTACATCTGGACGAGAATGTTGAGGGTGAATCGGTCGGGATGGGCAATGCGGGAGTGTATTTCTTGCGCTTGTGAGAGTTCTGTACAAGAGTTTATCAGGCTTCGTACGGCGTGATCTGTGCCCATCATGGTATTGAGAGCATGAGCTTGATCTGTTGATAAAAGTGTAGAAAAGATCTTGGAGATAATGTGTTTTTATAGTATAAGTTTCACTGCCCAAAGTAGAAGAATCATAATAACATCATGAGCGTAATATCCTAATTTTATCATAATAAAAGAGTCAGTATCTACAAGAATTTTTCGAGAGAGAAAAATGGGTTCTTGTGTTCTTGTCAAACCTCCGAGTTCCACTCCACGAACCAGATTCAAGTAAGTTCTTGGTCTTGATCTACTCCAAAAACATGAAAATTACAGGTTACCAGATTCTTATGTGGTGGATTCATCGTTGGTATTTCCTCAAGTCATGCAATCTTTGACGGAAACTCTGGCTGTGAGTTTTACGACGCTATCTCCAGAACTGTAAGAGGGGATCTCATTCCGTCGACGTCAATTCCGATCGCACCATCTTTTGCGGCACAAATGATCCAACACTCAGTGACCAGGAGCTCGTTCCAATGCCTGATGTTCCACCCAGCGCACTACCATCATTCCAAATCGCTCCACTCAGGTTTCGCATTTAAATTATTCTCCTTCACGCCCACCATCCATTCTTTCAAGAAAAAGGCACTGTGCGATGGCACCATCGCCAGATGCTCGTCTTTTGAAGCATTGGCGGCCCATGTCTGGAAGGCACAGACAAAAACCTCGTCCAACAACAACAAAAGAAAAGGTGGCGAACCTCTTTGTGGCTGTTTACAAATGTTGGTCACACGATGGCAAATCTACCAAAGAATTACGTTGGAAATGCGGTGTCTGCTCGGTGCTGGGACACCAGGGTTGAGGAGCTTTGCAACGCCGTTGTGCGTACGGAAGATCCAAGCAGCCATTGGCCATGGTACGTCCGAGGAGTTTTTCCGGTCAGCCATATGGGATGCTGTATTATGTTACAATTGTGCATGACGGAAAATAATACATGGTTTTTCTGTAAAATTGCAAGGAAGATGGAGGAGTGGACGTGTTTATGGGCATGAGTTTTAAGAAAATGGGCAAACTGGAAGACTTCCTCATTGTTTGAGTGTGATTGCTTGGCTTGTCCTAAATTTCCAAAGATTTAGGTGGCATTATCTACCAAGGATAGAACTATAGAACTATCGTCCAGGCGACTCCTCTAGATTTCACGGAAGGCACAATAAAATACTTTGCACGTCCCAAATACTGTTCCTTACTGTTTCTTCATATAGATTTGTGTTTGCCGCTTTTGTTTCCAGTGCCCTCTGGTGACCACTGTTATCCTTCTACTTTGTGGCTGGGAATATCACAATTCATAGAGCTTTGAATACAGCAAATAAAAGAATTTAAACTTGAAGAAAGATAATGCTAAATTATTTATAATGATAAACCGTACTTAGAGATGTACTTTTATCGTGCACCGACACTCATATTCTTATTAGGTGTGAAGAACGAGCAATGCTAGATTGGCTACTCGGCTTCTGCAAGAGCATGCTCATTTGTCAATGGCAAAGGCTGGATTTTGACTACGTGAGGAAGACGTGCCACAATGTGGGGGTCCTCAAACTGTGAAGCTCTGGTAGAGAGGGATGTGATGAACATCATGGGTGATTTACAGGCTGAAATGATTTGTACATGTTCTCCAATGTCGTGTCCAGCTTATGGCCACAAGTTCTCCGTAAGTTTGTCAAGTTACATACTCTAGGAAGGTTGTATAGAAAATCAACCTATAAAAGAGCCAGCAAAATCACACTCTTTGCCATCGAGAAAGAAATGGGTCAGCATGTTTTTGTAGAAGAGGTTTCTGTTTTGAAGCCTCCCATCTCCACTCCTTGCACCACTCTCTTCCTCCACAATCTCGAGCAGCAGCTCTTCTTCCCAGTAGAAATGCTCTTCTCCTACAAAGTCGACTCCCCGGGTTCCACCCGAAACGTTGCCCATGTCGTGCGAGATGCTCTGCAACAGGTTCTCGTCCCGTACTACTTTGTGGCCGGAAGGATCCGAGTGAACGAGGAGCAAGGCCGAGTTGAGCTCGACTGCAACGGGGCTGGAGTCTTGTTTGCCAGTGCGAGCTGCTCGTCCACGATTCGTGACGCTGGAGACCTCCGAATGCCAAATCCAAGCGCGAGAAACTTTCTCGTTTTTCCTACCGAAATGCCCACGGAAATCTGCGACGTTCCGCTCGTAACGATCCAAGTAAGTGTTTCTTCTTGGATGAACTTCCGTTACTTCCACTTATAAGTTGCATCAACCTTGCAGGTTACCAGATTCATATGTGGAGGATTCATTGTTGGTATTTTAGCAAGCCATGCGATCTTTGATGGAACCGCTGGCTGCGAGTTTTACGATGCCATTGCAAGAACTGCAAGAGGGGATCTCAACCCAGCGACGATGACCCTCAATCTTGATCGCTCCGTCTTTCGCAGCTCAAATCCACCCCGACCAACGCTCGATCACCCCGAGCTCGTTTCGATGCCTGATGTCCCAGCCAAGTTGATCTTCAGCCCAGCGCACTATCACCCTTCTAAATCTCTCCTCCCGGGGTTCTCTTTTAAGTTATTCTCCTTCACGCCCGCCATGCTGGATTCATTAAAGAAAAAGGCGCTGTCGGATGGCACTATAGCCAGATGCTCATCTTTCGAAGCTTTGACAGCCCATATCTGGCAGGCACGAGCAAAAGCCTCGCATGACTCCCATGCAACAACAAAGGTGGCGAACCTCTTTGTGGTTGTAAACGTTCGTCACAAGGTAAAAAATTTTCCGAAGGACTTCGTTGGAAACGCGGTGGTGGCTGCTCCCTCCTGCGACACCACAGTAGAGGATCTTTGCAACGCAACATTGTCGTTGTGCGTACGAAAGGTCCAAGCAGCCATTAGGCGTGGAACGGAGGAATATGTGCGGTCAGTAATGGATTGGTGCGAGGGCAGGCATGGCTTCATTGACTTGCCAGGTGGCATGATCATCACACCATGGTCGAAGTTGGCCTTTCACAAGCTTGATTTTGGATGGGGGAACCCGGACTACGTTACGTCAGCCGTGCATGACAGGAAAGAATATGTGGTTTTGCTGTCCAACTGTATGGGAGATGGCGGACTGGACGTGTTTATGGGTATGGAGTTTGAAAAGATGGCCAAACTAGAAGACTTCCTCACGGTATGATTGATAATTGAGTGAAAAGCATAATAAAAGTTTTCCTTTTAAGTCTCACTAAGTCTCGAGCTTATGAGCCTCCACTATAGAGCAGAGACAATTCACATCACCTATAGTTTTGATGTTACTAAACTGTGCTTGAGTGAGGAGCTCTATGAACTGCACGCTTGTTCTCTCTTTGCCTCCTTTGGTGAGGGCCAAGAGGACCAAGTCGAATGCAAATTTGAGTGATTCGAATGGTCCTCTTTCTGCTGGATCCATGTCAATGTCAACAATTATCAGCTTTCCTCCATGGGGAAGTGCCTTGTAGCAGTTTTGGAGAACAAGAATCACTTCGTCATCGTCAAAGTCATGTAGTATAGTCTATAATCAAAAAGAGAGATCAAAGTTGATATCCTATGAGAGTTCCTTACTTTGAGGAGAATTGCATCAGCTGGTGGAATGTTTTCCATCATGTCACCACGAACATGCCTCACACCTTTAGAAATATAAAATTATTTTCAAAAAGATGTATATATTTTTTTACCTGGAATGGCTGGAGCAGCGTGGGCAACATGAGGAAGCTCATAATTCACACCAGCAATGTGGGGATACTTTTCCATAACCCTGCCAATATCGGCTCCAAAACCTCCTCCCGCATCCACTAAAACTCCTCTAATCTCATCAAAACCATGATAAGTTTGTAGAACCGAGTCCATGGTAACATTGGAGATGGCCACCATTCCCTGGCTAAAAAGCCCCAGAAACTCTGGATTTTTCTCCATGTACTCCCAGATAAACATCCCTTGGGCTCTCTGGAAGGGGACCTCGCCACCGTGAAGTATGAATTCGTGTATGTGATGCCACCCTGAAGTTACGACCTCGTCTTGCAGCATGAGCAGCCGAGCAAACTTCGATTCAGTGAGCATCTCGCAGAGCTCGGTGCTTCCATACTTGAATTCGCCTGGAACTTCCAGAGATTGAATCTTTAGAAGAACTTTCTTTACCACCAAGTAGTCGAGGAGACGACGAAGAGGGGCTAGTTGGATGTTTGTGCCTTGGAGCCGGGCCGCGATTTCTTCCAAGCTCATAGATTTCTCCAAAGAATCGGAGAGAATGTCTGGAATTCTAAGAAAAACCGCGGCCTTGATCCCGAAAGAAGTCGCATGGCCGATGGCCATCTCCCACAGAGCCGCGAGATTCTGCGCGTGAGAAGCCATAGCCAAGCGCCCAAAAACCTTTGAATTTAAATTCAAAAAAGATTCGGTAAATGATTCTCCCCTCGACCAAGGCCGAGTGCGCGGGGTTGATTCGATCGTGCAGTAGCATAGGACAGGCGCGCGACCTCCACTTGCAAATCCAAATCTCCCTCCGGAATCTCCTCACCCAGGATGCCTTCCTCGCCAATCTCCTCGTCCAGATGTATGGGCGATTGGGCAGCGTGGACGAGGCGCGCGCCCTCTTCGATCGAATCCCCAGAAGGAACTCCTTCTCCTGGGTGCTCATGCTCACGGCTTACGTCCAAAACGGGTTTCTGGATCGCGCCAAAGCGCTGTTCGACCAGATCCCTCACGCCAATCCCGTGGCGGCGAATGCGTTGCTGTCGGCGTACGCCCACGCCGGCGATCTCGCCGCAGCAAGAAATCTGTTTGATTCGTTGCGCGAGCCCGAGTGGCAGAGCCTCGCACTTTGGAACACGATGCTTTCGGCATATGCCCTTACCGGCCATCTGGAAGAGCTCGAGCGTCTCTACAAAGAGATGCCGATTTGGGACAGGGTCTCGTGGACGGCCATGCTGACCGCGTACGGAAGATCTGGTGATGCTCGAAAAGCTAGTCTTGTGTTTGAATTCATGGCCGAGAGGGACATGGTTTGCTGGAGCGCGATGATCACTGCATTTGCCCAAAACGGGCAGTTTTTCAGCGCAGAAAAACTCTTTCGCTTGATGCCGGAGACTGATCTAGTGTCCTGGAATGCGATGCTAGCGATGTACGCACAAGCCGGAAAGATAGAAAATGCGAAGAAAACTTTTGATTCGATGCCCGAGAGAGATCTTTTTGCATGGTGCGCACTGCTCACAGGATATGCCCAAAACGGGCATCTGGAGACCGCGTTTTTCTTGCTGGATTCGATGCCGGAGCGGAACCTGGTGCCCTGGAACGCAATCCTCTCCGTCTGCGTGCAAAGGGGTCTCTTGGACGAGACGAAAAACATCGTCGATTCGATGCCGGAGGTCGATCTGATCGCCAGCAACGGGCTGCTCATCGCCTACGCTCAAGAGGGTGATCTCCAAAACGCAAGAAAAATCTTCGATCGATTGCCCGAGCGCGATATCGTGTCATGGAACGCGATGCTCTCGGCCTACACCCATCTCGGCCTCGTCGACGAGGCCAAGAGCTTCGTGGAGCAAATGCCCGAGGTGAGCATGGTGACGTGGAATGCCACGCTGTATTCCCTCAGCCAAGCTGGTCATGTCATGAGGGGAAAAGCTCTCTTTGAAGAAATGAAGTTCAAGGACTACTACTCCTGGAATGTGATGCTCTCGGTATATGCCCAGAACGGGCATCTGGAAGAAGCCTTGGACGTCTTCCACTCCATGCCCGAGAGAGGTATCGTCGCCTACAACACAATGATCGCAGCGCACGCTCAAAACAAGGATCTGGATCGAGCAAAAGCGCTGTTTTTCCAAATGCCGGAGTGGGATACAATCACCTGGAACGCCATGATCACCGCGTTTGCGAACAAGGGTCTTCTCAACCACGCGCGGCAATTGCTACGCTTGATGCCGGAGCCCAATCCCATCTCCTGGAACGCTCTCATTGCAGCTTTTGGAAGCAATGGACGCCTGAGTAGCGCTGTGGAGATTTTCCAGGAGATGGTTCTCGAGGGATCCAAGGTGAGCGAGACGACTTTCGTTTGCTGGCTCCTCGGTTGCAACCACAACGGAAACGTTGCTTCTGGCTGGTCGTGCTTCCGATCGATGTTCGAACACTCTGTCACACCATCCAGACAAAGTTACTCGTGCATGATCGATATACTTAGCAGGGCTGGTTACCTCAGAGACGCCGAGGATCTCATTCGCTCCATGCCTTACGCTCCAGACTTTGTCGACTGGCAGTGCTTGCTCGGAGCTTGCCGAGGGAGCAGCGAGAACCGCAGAGGTGGCGCTCGAGCTGCAAGGCAGGCAATCGAGTTAGAACCAAAAGACGCTTCCACTTACGTGCTGTGGGCGAACATCGAGGTCCCGAAGCAAAAGCTTGTTCGTCTCTAGAGTTTCAAAAAGGCTTTTCTCTTTTGGTCTCTGTGAATATTTACAACACTAATACAACCTTCCTCGGCATCCAGACGATCCACAGTGGCACGGGCAACCCCTCCCTGGTAATAACTTGTACCTGTAGTCGTAAGATAGTTCTTCTCCGCAAAGAATCTGCGAGAAACAAAAAAAAAACTTAGTGGAGGTCCGTTTGTCACCCATGGCTCGGTACTTACATCACGGCTAGCAAATAATCCAATGTGCGCGAGTTGATAGTCCATGCTCTCCACTAACACCTGATAGTTTACAAGGTTCGGGGAACAACTGCGTAAAGCCAGCATTCAATCAGCAACGCATCCACGATATTGCCGTCACAGTACCTGTGGTTTATAAACCTCGCAACGTTTCCATGCTTTGTTGCATCTATAACAAACGGTTTTATTCTTGGAACTCTGCTTGGTCCCCTTCGAGATCTCCCTCCGGTGTTTAAGTGCACATCAATGTCGTACAGATAGCTACAACCAACTTGATCGTATCTGTCCAATCAAAGTGTAAGACGAAATCCGGAATCCAGATCTGCAAGAAAATCACCTTTCCCCTCGCCGATTTGCTTCTTGGTCGTTCAGTACTTCACCAAGGTACTCGCAAACAAACGTTCCACGGGAGATGTTTTGAGCGGCCCTCACAGCCCATCCCTTTGACAACACAGGCACTTAGTTAATCCATCTTCACCGAGGAAAACAAATAATACCTTGTGCCTCGTCTTGAAAACCTCCAGTTTAACGTTTACACCTCTCTGAAGAACACGATTCGGACACTCCTCGGAGCACATACAACTCGTATTGCACTCGTAAACGAGGTAACCCTCCTGCAAAACAAGATACGAATGAGCTATCCTACTAGGTAGAATAATGACGCTTACTTGAAGAACGATGCGGCCTTCTCCATCGTATGGAAACCTCCGAAGCATTTCTTCTCCCCATATGTCACATGCATCTGCGTAATCACTATCAAACATTTCCACGTGATCGCACGACCTTGCTGAGCATCGACCCCGTCCGCAAGAACAGCCGATTTGCGAATCCTGGAAGTTACAAAGACAAAAAACAGAAAACCGAGAAATTAGAACTTGAGAACCAATATAAACAAACCTTCGTATCAAGTCCCAAAGACGGATCAAGCAAACGATCTGTGACGTAGCTGAAAGTCTCCCACGGTTTTAGAGAGTCGACGTGGTACGACTTTCCCTCCCTACACTGCAAGCAGTTGCAGGGATCGGTCTCTTCGTCCTCCACACAAGGAACCGGTACACGCTCTTTCCCGAAGCTTATGTCTTCGCAAAGAACCACACTCTTTTTCCTGGCCGACGCAGCAACGGCACCCTTCCGGAAAACATGCAGCCTCATTTCCGAGGTGCGCTCTGGAGCTCTAACGGTACAGTTTTGAGGACAAGTGAAACCATCTCGAGCCCACTCAATCTCCTGCGGGGCAGCCAGTTTCACAGCGTTTGCGTGCGTTCCCTTGGGGACTGAGTCGTACTGTTCTTCCAGAGTGCGGTAGAACCGTGCCTCGCAGCATGCAGACCGAGCAGCAGCTAGAATTTCATCATCTCCAGGAGGTCCAGGCAGCTTGGCAGCAGCCCCACGTCCAGCTTCCGATCTCTCGCTCTTCTGTTGCTGCACGCTGTGCAGTGCCTTCTTGATGCGAAGAATGGAGTTCATCCCATGCTGGCTGAGTTTTCCACGCCTCCGGTTACTACGGTTGCCTTGAGTCACGCCCGTTCTCGATTTCGAGATTGTCCCAACGTGTGAGGACATGTGTACTGCTTGATGATGCCGGCCCAAGTCTGGTAGCGCACGGAATTTTTTCCCGCACAGCTTGCAGGTGTACTTGTGCTCCGAGCCGTCGTTGTCTACAGAGTAGCAGTTCCCATCGAGGTACTCGAGTGCTTCCATCTCGTCAGCCGAGTAGTCCGAGCTAGGAATGTCCATGAAGTCTTCGTCGTCCAGAGAATCTTGCTGGTTGTCATCTGAAAGTACCGGGAATGGTTCTTCTGCAGTGACAAGATCGTCGTCCGGCATCTTCGTGTCTTCCGCAGGATCCTCAGCTGGTAGAGCGAGTGTTGGCATTGCACTGAGATGATCCGAATGTCCCGACACCACGTGATCCCACAGAGCCTCGAAGTGTGGAAACTGCTCGTCACAGTTGATACAGATGTGAACGGCGGGAACGTCCGTCAAGGCTTCATGATCGGCCTTACAGTGTCTCTCCAGGCTCGACTTGTTCGTAAACTCCTTGTTGCATTCCTTGCAGGCATAGCCTTTCAAGAACCAGTGTGCCTCTGTCTCATGAGAAGCCTTCCAGTGGTTGCCGAGCTCCACCATCTCCGCAAACTCGTCGTCACAGATGCTGCACTTTATCTTTTCTTGCTGCTTTTGCTCGGCGTGGTCACCCGATAGCTGCTCTGGACATTTGCCTTCAACCTCCGCGGCCCCTTCTGGAGTTGGTTTCGATGCCTCCGCACGCTCTTGAAGCTTCAAGAACCTCCCGAGCTTGTCCTTCCGCTGGTTTACTAGCTTCATCAGTGCCGTGGCAGCATGGATATCCTTGGAGGCTTCAGCAAGCACCCAATCCAGTAGCTTGTCAGCCGAGTCGGTAGTGTCACTGGTACTGGCTCCTTCCATTTTCGCACTTTCCATATACCTGCTGAGCCAGCTTTTTGCTTTAAGCACAGTTTGTGCTTCGTCCAGCTTCTTCACTTCAGACGGAGCCGCATCTTCTTGCTGCGAGTTGCTATCCGGCTGATGCTTCTCACAGTAGAAACTTCCCGGTCTTGATTTGTGAGAGCACTGATCGCCATTTACGCACCTCCCAAGGCAGCGAACCCGCGTCGCTGCAGGCCCGTTGTTTCTAATTATTCTTCCCATCCGCTTGAGATGCCAACTATAGTTTCTCGCTCGCTCTATAGAAGCCGTCACCTTTCTTCTCCTGGGACTGCTTTCTTCTCTAACGTCTTCGCCAGTCGGAGGCTCTTGTTGTGTTTTCGCATCTGTTTCTGCTTCCTCCTTGAATTCGTGCTGCTGAGGTTCTGGTTCCACGTTTTCTTCGGTCGCCCTCTGGGAGCTTTCAGCGGTTACCAACTGCGGATTTAAATGAGGTGCGTCCGCAAAACTGTGCTTCTTGCAAAACAATGAATCTTCTTTGGCTCTGTGCGTGCAGCGCCTCCCATACTTCGTGATCCCTTCGCATATCTTATCACCCGGCATTTTCGGAATAATCGTTGTCGAAGACTTCGGTGTAGCTGCGACGGCTTTGGGCGGCGGCGGCGGCGGTGGTGGTGGTGTATACTCCAGTTTTTTCACGCCTTCTATGCCGTCCCCAAAAGCCAAACTCATATGCTTGCAGCAGTACAGAGAGCCTTGGCTTGGAAACCGGGTGCACTGCCTTTTCTTCTTCTCCATATACGCAGCACAAAGCTGGTAGTTCGAGCTGAGCCTCTTACTGATAGGCGCTGTAGACTGATTTATCAGCGAGCTCGAGCGGCCAGACAGGTCGTCATCCTCGGATTTCGGTACCGATGCTGGTGTCGACGTAAGTACTTCAGCGGATGGTGCTTTGGGCCTCTGTTGGTTGTCGGCAGTGTAGCCGTTCACTTCGTCTTCCTTTTTCACTGGGGTTGAGACGGGAATAAGTTGCGTTGGGTATCTTCGGCGAACATCTAGCTTCGACCTCTTTAGAGCCAGCTCCACGTTCGCTGCGTCCGAACTCAACCTCCGGCGCTTAAGAGTCTCGGAATCCGCAAACAGCGACGAGTCTGGCGTCATCGAGATGCTCGGATAGACGCTTCTGTTTTCGATCACTGCTCGCTTCCAATCTTTCCATTCTGTTCCAACAGCGGACTGTTCTGGTGCATCCCAAAGCGCATGGACAGTTTCCCATAGAACAGCGTTTACCAGCTCCTGCAAAACAGAAAAGAAAACCGAGATTTAAAGTTCCGAAAGTATTACACACGTTATTGACCTTGTTAAGATGTTCAACGGTTTGTGCACTCTTAGCAACTTCACAGTCATTCTTCCACCTGTTAAAGCTTTCTTGAAGCCATGTCTCGTTATAGCACGTTAGCTGGATCATCTGCAATTACCTTAAGACATAAGCAGCACACCTTTTTCAAAACGTTACGTTACGCACCCCGAAAAGCTTGACAAGCATTTTGCTAACGTCTGAATACTCTTTAGATTCCACGGCCTGGTTCGCAAAAGTCTTCCACGCGTTGACATTCTGAGCGCTATCTACGACTGCCTGCAAAATTACCACTGTTGGGAAACCAAACCAAAAAACTATTCAGGAAAAACCTTAATGGGCAGGCGGTCGCTGATGTCAAGCATGTTGGCGGCCAAGACACGGAGCATGTGGTGCTTTGGAAGGTCGAGATTTTCCACCGCATCTCTACCGCTTTGATGTGTTCCAAAGGCGAGCGGCTCGGGACTCTCCGTGATATGGCAAGCATACTCAAGGTCCACCCAAGAGTACGTTCGAGAATTCGGAAAGAACACCACCACATATGTCTTCTTGCTGTACGTAGGCATGGCTCTCACCGTCGCGGACGAGCAATCGCTTGGGTAGCACTGTATACAAGCTCGCCATTTCCCTCGCCACTGTAAAAGGAGAAAGAGAAAAAAAGCTCAGAGACTCAACAATTTACTGCCAGGCGAAATTCCAACTCTAGAACAAGAACCAAAATCATCCATTTTTGAAAGCCCCAAAAAGCATGCACCAAGAACTCATGCAGGGCCAAGTCAACTAATGATCGCGAGATTTAAATCCATTACCCTAGGCACTAGATCCAGGACCTTGCACGAATGCTAGCTTCTATAAGATGCCTCGAATGCATGAAAGGAACTCAAAGAATCAACATACCCACCAAGAAAAAGAACGAACTTTGAGAAGAAGGAACTAAAGAATCGAAATTTACGCACCTTGACCCAAAGAGCTATTCCACCTTCCTGCGTCATGGTCGGCTCTTGCATCTCACTTATGCCTATAATGCTCGTGGTAGTCGCGGAAACACCCTTTTTCTTACTCCATCCCTTAGGTCTTGCCTTACGTCCACCGTCCCCACTTGTACTCACGACCCCAGTTAAACTTTTTCCACAACCCGGGCTGCCCTGTTCATCCTCCTCCAAAATTTCTTTCCCGGCCAAGTCCTTTGCAAGTTCTTCCTGGGAGCTCAGCACGCAGCCTAGCAAATCCCCATCGCTCTCGCTCCTCTTCACCTCTCCCAGCAGGAATTCCTTGGCCAGAATCCCATCCCCGGCCAAATCCTCCTCCACATTCTTGGAAATCGTCGCGGATGCCGCAATCACTTGCTCGTCATCGAAGTTTGAATAGTTGCAAAGGCAGCTATCGACGGCGGTGGTGACTGTAGCGCCATCCCCCATGGATTATCACCCTGGCGAGCTCCTGCAAAGATCTATTCCACTAAACCCTGCCCCGCGGAGACGATGCCGGCCCGGAGATTGCAGCCTTATACCTGGAAGATAGTTGCGAGCTTTGATCGTCGCGCTGGAGTGAATGGAATCGTCGCGGGAGGGAGGAAATATCGATGCGCTCGAGATGACCTAGCGAGAGCTTGGCGTGCCGGGGTGGATCACTCTCGACGATGGAACGAACTCGTCCTTACATTATTAAAGCCCTAAAACACAAACCCTAGCAGCAGCTAGTCGCCAAGCCCTTAAAAAAGAAAAATGTGCCAAAGGGCAACAGTGTCTTCGTTTAGGGTAGTATTTTTTTATATTTTAAGTCTATCAAGTGAGGAACGATCGAAGTGCTGCTACTGCGTCTCCCTTGTGCTCTCGCAGCGTTCTCTCGGCGATCTTCCTATCAATCTGGAAGAATTTGCAAGAGTGAGGAGGAGATATTTGGAAGAACTTCGCCAAGAATACCTCGAGCTCATTCGCGATAACGTCAATGTGCGCTGGATCTATCTTCACAGCTGCGAGTTCTTTCTCCCTAAAATGCAAAAAAACACTTAGAAGAGAAAGAACCAGGCAAGAGAAACACAGCACCTTAATCTCTGGATGTCTCTATCGGCATCAGACGTCGCCGCAATCGAAGCCATAGCCTAGAAAACAGTCGACTTTTGCTAGATTTCGAAGAAAAAAATCCACTCACCTGTTGAACACGAGTAGAATCCAGCTGCCTCTCCTCCACATGATCGGTAATCTTGTCTAGCGCCTTGGATTGCTGCTGCCTGTCCTTGGAATCGGGCGCGCGAGCCGGCTCCTCGTCCGCCATTGCCCCAAGAACCCTAAACCAAAAATCTCGTTGTTTGCCCAAGAACCCTAATCTTAACTTTGACCAGATCAGTCAACGACGCTGACCACCTTTGACTCGGAGAAAGTGTTGGCCATGAGCGCGTACGCTCCTGGATCTCTAGCGTCCAGCCGCAGCATCGCCTCAAACGCCAGCTTCCCAATCTCCAAGTTCCTCCACTTCCTCGACGCGTTCATGATCGATGTCCACACTGTCAAGTCCGGCTCGAAAGGCATGCTCTTCACCATCGCCACCGCCTCTTCCAGATGGTTTGCTCGAGCTAGAAGATCCACCACGCAAGTGTAGTGCTCCACGCTGGGAACCACCCTGTGATCCTCGGAGATCATCATCTGGAAGAACTCCATTCCTCTCTCCACCAATCCAGCGTGACTGCACGCCGTCAAGACGTGAAGGAAGACGATCCCATCGATCGCTACGCGCTCTCTTTTCATCCTCTCCCCCACCTGGAACACCCCTTGAGTGTCACCCTGCTGGCTAAACCCCGCGACTAGAGCTCCCCAAGCCACCGAATCTTTCCTCTGGATCGAATCAAACACTGCTTGAGCTTCCACCATGCTCCCACACTTCCCGTAGAAATCGACTACTGCTGTTGCTAGAACCGTGTCCCTGGCCAGATCAATCCTGGGACTGCTCGCTACTTCGCTGTGGATCTTCCTGCCGGTCGAGAGAGCTGCTAGATTCCCACAGGCCTTGAGAGCCGCGACGTAAGTTAGAGCGTCCGGCTCAATCCCGCTACCTTTCATCTGTTCCAGGAGCTCCAGAGCGACTCTAGCTTCTCCTTGAGCGCTCTGTGCGTGTCCGAGGATCAGTGTGTTCCACGAGACCACGCTTCGTTGGATCATACCATCGAAGACCCGACGAGCTTCGACGAGTAATCCACACTTGCAATACAGATCCAGCAGCGTGTTGGCTATGAATACGTCCTTCCTGTAAACGGACCTTAGCACCTGTGAGTGAAGAGCAAATCCTATCTCCAAACTCACAACTTTGAGAAGCTCACCTCCAATCTGCGATGGTGTTTCTCGAGCAGCCAGAGAGCTGCAAGCTTTGAGAGCCGCGACGTAAGTTCGAGAGTCCGGTTCCATCGGCCTTCCATCTCCGTGTTGCATCAGCTGGAAGAGCGTCAAGGCCAGGCGTTCTCGTCCATTCTGAGCCAGCGACAGTAGCATGATGTTCCACGAGACTAAATCGCGAGTTTTCATCTTGTCAAACACCGCCAGTGCCTCCACAATCCTTCCACACTTCGAGTACATGTCGATCAAAGTGTTGGCCACGAACATATCCGCTGTATGACCCGTCTCTCGAGCCTGGGAGTGAATCTCCATTCCTTTTTCCAGGCTCTCCATCTTCACAAGCTCTCCATTTACGCGTGTACCTTCTTCTTTCTCCGCCAGGCCAATGCAAGCCTCAAGAGCAGCGACGAAAGTCCAAGAGTCTGGCGAGATCATACTCTCCTCTTCTCGCATCCTCGAAAACAATCTCATGGCGAGCTCGCCCTCCCCGTTCTGAGCACACCCGATGATGATCGAGTTCCAAGTCACCACTGATCTCTTCTTCATCCGGTTGAAAACTTTCACTGCCTCGTCGACTTTGCCAACTTTGCAGTAGAGATTCACCAGCGAGCTCGCCACAAAGAGGTTGGATTCGTGTCCTCTCTTCGCTGCAAGAGCGTGTAGAGCCAGGGCCTTCTCTAGAGCACGCTCCTCCCGAAAAACCATCTCTTTGTCCATTTTCTTTGGAAGCTGCTTCCTCCGCCACTGTTCTTGCTCGGCCAAGCTCGTACAAGCTCTCAGCGCCGCCACCATGCTACACGAATCTGGAAGAAATCCCTGTCCCTGCATTGCCTCGAAGAGCTCCAGCGCTAGCTCGCCCTCGCCACACTGGGCATACCCCAAAACAATGGTGTTCCAAGACACAAGGCTTCGCTGCTTCATCGTGTCAAACACCGATCGCGCATCCGGCATGCTCCCAGCCTTGGCATACATATCGATCAGCGTGTTGGCCACGAAGAGATTCCCATCGCTCCCTGCCTCCACCGCTCGGGCGTGGATTCTCCTCCCGCTCTCCAGATCCCTGGAGCTGCTGCATGATTTCAACGCCGCAATGAGCTCCGTGATAGCGCCATTCTTCTTCCCTAGATTCTCCCGCTTCGCCCTGGCGATGGGATTCACCGAGGGATCGAGGATTTCCGCCATGCTGCTTACCGCATTTTTATCAGGAACCCTAAATGATTAGAGCATATTCTGATCTATAAAAGAGAATATCCTGTCAAGCCCTACAAGATTCGAAAAGAGAATAATCGAAACGACTATACTCTCTAGTTATAAAAGAAAATTTGTCTTGCAGAGTAGCTTACTTCCAAGCTAAAAGAGGGAACATACAAGTAGAACCACACCTCCTTTCACACAAACACCACTTAATACCCATCGTCGTAAGAGCCGCGGCTCCCACCGTTGGATCGACCCCCGCCAGCGGGGCGATCGTACGGTCCAGACCTGCTCCGGCCACCGCCATCACGGGGTCTATTATACCCCCCGTTACCACGGTCACTCCCACCACCGTAGCGTCCGCTTCCGCCTCGGTCACCGCCTCGGCTTCCACCATACTTGTCACCGCCGCCGCCGCCACCGCCGCTGGTACAGTCTCTCGCCCAGTGGCCACTCTCGCCACACTTAAAGCAGCCACCGTTGCCGCCACCGCCGCCACCCCCGCCGCCGCCGCCGCCGCCACTGCCGCTTCTTCTTCCATAGCCTCCGCCATCTCGGCCCCCATCTCGGCCTCCATCGCGGTCTCGGCCACCGCCACCGCCTCCTCCGCCGCCAGACTTTGGCTGGGCTTTACTCACAGTGATGGAGCGGCCGTCCAGATCTTTGCCGTGCATGCCATCAATCGCGTCTTGCATGGAGTTCTCGTCGCCAAAGGTGACGAAGCCAAAGCCGCGAGATCTTTCAGTGTCCCTGTCAAGCACCACCTACAAAGCAAGAAAAAAGAGTTCCAAAAGTTAGAACCTCTGCAAATCGAGCGAACAAAAACTAGCTACGAGCTCTACGAAAAACAAAACATCAAAGCTGCGTTAGTAGCATCACACAGGCAAATCAAGCAAGCAGGAAATGAAAAAAAAGAAAGAAAGAAGCTTGCAAGAAGACTGAGCAAAAAATCCTTTTGCAACCATCCAGACATCCAAGTTTTTCTTGTGGAAAGAACGAGGACAGATTGGGGAGGCCAAGGGTTTCATCTGTCTCAGTATCCTACCTGTTTGGGGCCTGTAAAAAGAAGAACAATAGCAACTCTCTAGTAGCAAGAACAAGAGCGTAACAAAACCGGACGGGATCCAAAGAGAGAGCCAGCCACACAGAGATCATTTCAAAGTTTCCTTGAAAACCTTGGCTTCAATAACGGTGCCATAGGGGCTGAATGCGTCTTCCAGGTTGCGATCAGTGGTTGCCCAAGACAAACCCCCAACGAAGCACCGGAATTCATCGACTGCCGCCGCCATCGCGAGAATCTGCGCAAGAGGAAACGGCGGGAGGGATCGAGCTTCAACCACGGCAGATCTGGCGAGAGACTTACAAGTGGGGCGCGTAGATCCGGACGAGAGCTGCGCGGCGCGACTGGCCCTAGGGTTATTCACTAGAGAAACCGACTCAAAAGCCAATCCAACGGTCAACACGTACGCTCAAGATCCAACGGCTGCAAACCACCCCTTGATCTTATTGGATCAAAACTTTACAAACCCAACCTTGTGAAATTTTTTTGATTGACACAACGAATTTTTCTCATACATCGCCTTCCAAGCTCATCAGCTTCGAGTATGCTTTCTCGGAGATAGATCCCTTCTTCAATTTTTTCAAGAGCCTGTAGTCACTGTTAATCTCTTCCAGTTCTTCTCTATCTCTGTGCGAGCGCTTCTTTGCTCTCTTCGCGGGACGATCCTTTTGGTGCTTCGATGGTGCCAGAGCTTTTCTTTCTTCTCTCGACGTATCTGGTTTCTTCTCGAGGTTTTTCCTCCTTTGCTTCTCCCGAGCTTTCTCTCTGAGAATGAAAACGTTCACGATGGGAACAAAGCGAGTACTAACACGTACCGATATGGAATGGAATCGACGTCAATGTTCTCCACAGGAGTAAAATGCTGCGACGTGAGCACACCACGCTTTAGTTCTGGCATGGAAGGGAGTTGCAATAGACCGAAGCTCATGGCGATCTTGCCAAGTTCCAGTTGCTTCCATCTGCAGCTCACTCTCGTCATTGATCAATCAAACAGACAACTCTTACTGGAAGATAAAAGTGCAGTGGTGCTCTTTGTACGCTCGGAAGTAGGACACAAATGCCTTGAGTCCTTTCTCCATCACGTCCCTATCCTTCATAGCAGCGGCCCGTAACTGCAGAACGAGAACAACAAACAGTGACTTTGTCCTTCTGCGAAGTCAAGCAAACCTTGGGTATAATATGAGGCACTTCAGTTTTGTCTCTCTTTTCTATCGGGACGTTTCTTATACGAAGGAACTCTGCGTAAGCGTCTTCCTGCGAAATGGCCCCAGATTATAAACAAACAAACCACAAAAACTCGTTTCACCTTTGGAAGAAGAAAAACTAAAGCATCTCCCGCTCTTCCCATTCTGGCAGTTCGGCCGACCCTATGAACGAAAACGTTTGGGTCTTGGGGAGGATCATACTGTCACGCGAAAGAACAACGATGTTATAAAACCACATATCATTATAAGGTTTCAAATACCTGCACGATCCAATCCACCCCAGGTATGTCCAGTCCACGAGCAGCCACATCTGTACAAAACAGCACTCCCGCAGGCATAGCGGTGAATTTTTCTAGAGCCTTTACTCTGACACTCTGAAAAACAGCTCCGCAAGTGTAAGGAGAAGAATAATAGGAACAGAAAATGTAACACTTACATACTTGTTTCATTTTCCCATGCAGTACAACTATCGGTACATCCTTGAGAGTCTTGAGCCGAGGAAGGACAGTGCCCCAGTAATCGACAGAAGCACAGGTCATGAAATATCTATCAAAAGACAAAACAGTCGGAAAGAATAAATACAAGAAGCATAAACCTGTATCACTTACACAATAGTTTTCCTGGAGGCATTCTCTCGCAAGAAGTTGACAAGCTGCGAAGATTTCTCCTCACCTTCACATTCCAGGTACTGAACGACACAAGCAAGAACAATCGCAAGAGCAATAAAAGCCAAAGCATACCTCAATATTCAAACCGGCAGGCGTCTTAAAGGTAGTCGACGCTCCTTTCACTTCACTGCGAACCTCCACTCTTACAGGATTTCTTAACCCGGCCTTTGAAAGCTCCTCCACTGCCTGCGTCTGTGTTGCGGAGAAAAGTCCCGTTCGTCGTTGCTTTGGCAAGAGTTCTATGATGGCTGATACTTGCCGCTGAAAGCCCATGTCAAGAAGCCTGTCAGCCTCATCGAGGATCAAAATCTGGAAAGAAACAATGAAAAGAGATGTTATCGTGTCAAGAGAACTTAGATCAGAAGTTCTTGCCTCGAGATGCCGAAACTCCAAAGCTGTCGATCGCTCCATGATATCATGAAGTCGTCCCGGTGTTCCAATGAGCACATTCCCGCCTTGCTCTTTCACTCTCTCCAGATCAGCTGTGACATCGGTTCCACCCACGAGCAACAATGCCGTGAGATTTTCCAACGTTTTCACAAACTTTTGAGCGACACCGAAAATCTGAGAAGCCAATTCCCTCGTTGGAGAGATTATCATCGCTCCCACCTGCACATTCTCTTGTAAAAATCTCCAGCAAAGAAATCCCTGCGTACCTCATTCCTCCTCAACGGCGTCGCGAGGCGGCGGAGAATCTCCACGACAGGAACCACGAACGCGAGCGTTTTCCCGGATCCAGTAGCGGCATCCACGGCCACATCCTTGAAGCTGCACAGCAGGGGGATCGTCGCGACCTGGACTGGCGTCGCGCGCAAGAATCCAAGCTGCTGCTCTAACACCCGGAGCGTCTCCGGCGAAAGCTTTGGCTCCAGCGCCGCGAATTCGATCTTCGTCACGACCTCCATTCCCTGCCAAGAACCCTAAACCCCGACCTATATTAAACCGATAATGTGATCTAAAGGAAAAGAAACCCATCGATTAAAAACGAAATATTTACCTGTCAAAGATCGCTGGATCGCTACCAACTCGCTGGATCTATCACTGGAGTTCTTTGCTCGTACCAGTGAATCCATCAAACTCCAACTTTGGGACGAAGATCCAAACCGAAACACCCATCTTCGTTTCCAGCGCCTCAAGTTCCTGGCTTCTGTAAGATGTCAATATCAGTAGACCCCGCAAACTTTAGCGTGTGTACCTTTCTTTTACTTCAGTATCTCTCTGAAATCCACCCCCATCCATATCCACAGTCCTCTCCCAGATCGAATGCAAACGAGTCTCCACGGTTTCCTAGCGAACTTCACGAGATGGTGTGTAGTAAGCTGCTTCCAGTAGAGGTAGCGCTGAGCTTGGCGCATAGCAGCGGAGATAGATTCAAGCAACCTCTGCGAGTGCAGTGTCGCAATCTCTCGACCAAGCTGAATAGCAAAGTAGAGGATCCGTTAGTAGCAAAGAGCAAGCAAGGAAGTCTGGATTACCATGTCAACGTAGGCTATGCCATCAGGACTTTGCGGGAGGAGCTGCCTGTTCTGTTCCACAGAGATCTGAGCTATCAGATATACAGGTAGGAGATGAGAATGAAGTAAAGGTAGAGTGGCTTACCTTGTTTGGTGCAGAGAGGACATCTCTTTCAGAGATCCAGTGAACTGCTTTCACGGACTTGGGAACTACAAGTTTATTGTACAGGTGCTCCGGCTGAATGGTAGAATGCTCTTCAAGTCGATCTGGGTGGAAATCTTGAGCGTCTGGCAGCCTTCGGAGAGCACTATTGTGATCAGATGGTCTGTTCGCGGCATTCCACGAGTGCCGTGGGAAGCCAGAGGTCTCTTCGACGGCGTTTCCGAGTACAAACTGGACAGTAAAGGAAAGATTTATGAGCACAAGGTACATAACGTTATCTTCAACTCACCTCCAAAATGCAAAGTTGCGACGACTGTCTCGGATCTTGTCGCAGCCACTACGCACATGAATTACTGAATGACACTTGAAGTAGAGCTCATGGCAGAACAAAAGACAAGGTTTAACTCTTACAGCAGTGAGGCCGATAAAAATGAATAATCACAACGAAAAGAATACAGCAAAACTCACTCGTCCTACGCATTGTACAAACACTCTCACAAAATGGAGTAAGTTTCCTGCAAGCGAATGTACACAGCTTTAAAACCAGCAATAACATAGAGAGGATGTTTACTCACCTGGAAGATGAAAATTCTGTTGCTCGTAAGGTCTGGTCACGCTACTAAGTCCTCCTCCCGGTACTAAGTCCTCACGTCAGCCTTTTCACGCCAAAATTTGGAGCTTCCAAGTACGACTTAAGAAAAAGGTGATGAAACAGGAGCTCCAACACCATCTGATCGTCTGATGGTACCCATGCCGCAGATGGTGCATCCTGGAGACGTCAGGGCCGAAAACTTAGCGCTACAAAGATCGCAAGAGTCGTGGCCTATGGTTGGCAGTCGTCCCAGTGTTGCAGAGCAGAACTGTGCGGGATCTTCTGTGTCCTCTATTGTTCTGTCGAATAATCCTCTCTGGGTGCAAACAGCAATGAGTGATCTCAGTTCTTCCTGCTTGTTGGGAGGGGCCTTCGAAAGTAGCAAGTCCAGCTGTGATTTTGCAAAAGCGTAGTTTTGCACGTCCATGTTTCTCTTGATAGCTGTCCGTATGCAAGTGATCCGATGTTTCGCTTGCAATGGTAATGTGCTCAGGTGTCTTGCCAGTCGGGCGATTTCGTCTTTCGCGCCAACAGCCGCTGTTCCGTCGACCTTTAACAGCTTGGCAATTTCCTGAAGAAAAGCAGCAGGAGTTATATTAGCAACTACTGAAAGAAGTATTACCTGCAAAAGTAGAACAGCAACTTTGTACTGAGAACAGATTTTAGCTTGAGCCTTGACGTCGACTCCGAGAGATCGATCTTTAGCAAGCGCGAGGAAAGATTCATCCAAGCACGACATGGCATCAGAAAGCTGATTCTGTTCCAGATGTGCAACGGCAGCTTTGAAGCACGTTGATGCAGAAGCTCCACGCGGCACCTAGAAAGACAAGCGAATTAGCTCAAGAATATAAAGGATAAAAGAGCACGTTACTTGGCCTGGCTTCCATTGTCGTGGAGGTGAAGGAGCTTTAACTCCTAGAGCAGCTGCAGGCATCGAAGACTCAAAGTTAACATTAACAGGAGCAGTGCTGGTCTTTTCAGTCTGAGGAGCAGCTTGCGGAGGGACACCACCATCCGGTAAGGAAAGATCGCCGCTTTGAGGAGGAATACCACCATCCGGTAAGGAAATATCAGCTTGAGGAGGAACGCCATTCGACATAATGCCAGGACCGCCCACTATGCCTGCTGGTGCACCGGCCATATTTTGGACTTGAGGAACATTTGAAGTCCAAAGTCCTGGTGTGAGACCATCCGGAGTGATATTGACAGTGAGAGGCTGCGCAGCACCACTGCCTTGACCTGTTCCATTCGCGTGAAAGAAGTCTTCTGGAATTGGTCCGCTGGCAGCTGATACACCCATTCCCATTATCACAGGGAACACCTCGGTGTTGGTTTGAGTTGTCGTAGTTTGGATCGGAATGTCTTGAATTCCCCCACTACTGCCAAAACTGCCCTGTGAGCCTCCTGAAGCACGCCTTGTACGTGGTGGTAAGGTGTCTGCCAGCTTGAACTGCTTCGTAGCTTCCTTCACTTTATCCACGTCCACAGTAGTAGTAGCCGGCTTGTCTCGGATTTTAATTCTGATCTTTTTCTTCGTGGTAGATGTTTCATCCTCTTCGCTGCTGCTACCATCGACACCGTACAATCCTTTCTTGAACTCTTCTGCGGCCTTTGCTTGTTCGTCAACAATCCCGTCGTCTTTCTTTGCAGCTCTGATCTTGTTCAATAAACTGTCTTCGGCAGCTTTAGACTCTGTTGAAGGTAATGCCAGAGCTGGTGCCGGTTTCTCGATGTCAGCTTCCCCGTTTGTAAGTCTTCTCACTAACGCATCGTCACGTACTTCCACAACGGAGCCCCGACCCTTTAACGTACCAAAGTAAACTCCAATGTGATCCGGAATAAGCGTAGGAATAGGTCCACTAGGAGTCTTCATGTACGCAGTTACTTCTCCAGACAGTTCCCATTCCCGAGAACTCTTCACTTCAGGGAACGTTTTGATTTGCCAGTTACCTCCAGCCCATTCTGGGCCCTTGGGAGCAAGACTTTCAGCAGCAAAGTTTGCGAAAACACCACCTTGTCCCCATCCCGAAGATCGGACAATAAGTATTTTTTCTGATAACCGCTTCAGCTCTGGCTCGACGCCTGTTTCCTCTAACTTTTGGACTAGCCTTCTTAGAGCGCTGGGATTCAAGTGACATATAAATAAATCCAGCATGCTCTCATAATCTGAGACGGCTTCATATACTTCTTTCGCTTGGTCGAATTGACCAAACCTGCAACAAAGTCTTGTCATCTACCAAACAAGAAAGAAACGAAGATAACTTACTTAATGCATTCTCTTCCAAGCTCTTGGAATCTGTGGAACAAGCGTGAAGTTCGAGGGCAACGAGGATAATCTCGAGATCGAAGAAACTCATCTTTCAAAATGGAAAGAGCAGTTTGAAACCGGCGAGCGACTACTGCATACTTGCATCGCAATTCCTGTAGCATGAAATTCGGAATAAGTAACTCAAGCTTAGATGATATACCTGAGTAAACTGTGGCCCTGCTTGTGAAAGTTCAACAGCGAGCTCTCCACAGACGGATGGAACCCGTGCAAGTGCATCAAGTGACCTCGGTGTGACCCGAAGACTATCAAACCTGTAAGAAACGATAAATACATCACAAATGAAACAAAGGAGGAAGTACCTCGACGTCAGTCTAAACAGGATTTCGGACAGATCAAGTTTAGGCTGAAGTTTGACTTGAAGTGTTGTCCATCCGATCAGGAGTGGCTCCAAAAGACCTGCTAAACGGGTCTTTATTTCGACAAGTTGCTTTTGTCTTGGACTTGGATCATTGTGGCAGACCAGTAAGAGGCGATCGTTCAGCGTCCCAACAAGCACTAAAGACAGAAAATCAAGGCAATGAGAGGAAATCAGATGAAACTGGCTAACCCGAATTTGGCGCTGCTAGCGTCGTGACTGCACACGCGGGTCCATCCCACCCAAGTACAGCGACGGTCGTCGGAGTTGAAAACAGTAATGCCGGTCCAACCCATACTAGAGATCTGAAGTATTAAAGAGTTAAGGTTGAACACATGGCAAACAACAAACAAAAAACATATTTTGGTGGATATTGGAGGGAATCCCTTGTCAAATGTTGCAGACGTAGAATTGATGACTTCAAGATTTTGAGAGACGATCATGACTCTCTCAGTCGTAAGAATTCCAGCAAACTGACCAACCATGGTTTCCTGCCAACGAACCTGCATGAAGGAAAAAATTAAATAGAAAAATATAACAGATTGATACACATTACGAGTACCTGCAAAACCGTTTCAAATTGCCTGATTTTCAAGAAGCGACCGTCTTCTTGTTTCGTAGAAAGCTCAAACATGTCGCCGCTGGCTCCATAACCACTTGAAAATATTCGTGTCAGTCCTATATGACTCCCAGAGGAGACATACATTAACAGAGAATCTGAAAACCCATGTGTGAGTACAAAAGAGGCAGTATAAGAGATCGAACCTAAGGGAGTAGAATATATGCGTTGCACGGGACTATCAAACACAAACTGTATCAAGCCTTTCTGTCCGTTCTCGTACGTTTGAGCCTTTGCATGAAGTTCTGAAAATGTACTGGCGTCTAAAGCACCATTTGTATCGCCATTGGATGTGGCTGATTTAACTTCGTCTTCAAGAGGATAAAGAGTCAATCCAACCCCGTCTTCATCAAGAATTGCATACTTGTCCTCCTTAAATCCCAGAAAAGCACCATCGCGGCCTGCAACTGAAATGTAAGAAACAGAGAGTTCGAGATCGAAAACGGACTGAACCTGTTATAGTGTTCAAACGTTCACCAACAGCTTCAGCAGTTAAGGATTCCCGATAGATAACGATTTCGCCAATGGCTCCTCGGCACTCAAAGAATATAAGAAAAAGATGCTGTCGAGAACTATATAGCATGTGAGTAGGCGACCGTTCTTGACCTCCAAGTGCCTGTGCAAGGTATGTCAACGCAATTTTACAGCCAATTGAACTCAGTGCTTACGGTCGGAGAAAGCTTTTTGTAGATATTATAGTCTCCAGATGCAAGATTGTAAGCAGAAAGGTTACAACCGTCCATGAAAAAAGCACGGACAGGATAATTGAATATGCCTTGTTCAGAGGTAAAGAACCCAAGGTCTTGTTGCAATGGCTGAAGAAAACAGAAATTAGTTTCAAATACTTAATGCTTGAAGTTTAGTACCTGGCAAACAGGGAGATCACGCAAGTGATGACTCGGATCTGCAATGGATAAAAGCGGTAGTCTAAATGAAGTAGTGTCTCTTGGCTCCCCTCCATGTTTCTGCCAAAATAACGTGAAGTGTCAATATTATGGCATCAAACATAGTGTGTGCTTACTCCATACAAAAATGCCTTTCGCGCAAGGTCCGACATTGTCAGGCTGTTAAAGAGACGTCATTACTGTATTTGATGAATGGTATGATGCTTACCCTTGCTGGCCTCTCGCCTGCTGTAATTGCATCTGCAGCTGATAATCGGGTAGAATGCCAGTCGAGCCCAAAAGTGCAAGTTTTTCCTTCAAGACCGATCCTAAATCTTAAAATATCAGCTCAAGATCATTTCTACAAATGCTAAATCCAACCTGGAGAGCCCCTAGCACTTTGTAGCACAGAGAATAGCTGCTTCCTAGCTTCTCTCGACACAGCTGATGCTCTTCTTCTCGCTTCCTCTTTCCTACTGTTGCTCTATAAGGACAAGATTTAGCTTCACGTAACAGTCTATTATATAGCGTACCGGAAACAATATTGTTGCCAAATTCAGCTTCGGATGTAGGAGAAAATCAGTAATCTTCGGGACAGGGTATATAGTGTCGCCACTACATTGAGCCAGAACCTTAGCAACATCCAAACTTTCAACGCCTAGAAGAAAAAGAAAACAAAGAAGACTTAATAAAACTACCCGTATATTGAATAACCAGTATTATGTACCTGCAGACTCGAAGAAGTTCGCACGCATGGGAGGCTTATTCGAATTTAGAATGACCCTCGTCCTCCACACCTGCACCATGCCATCCCTTGAAAGAGTCACAAGTAACCGCAACATAGAATGCCAGGAAAGAGCTGAAATTGGATTTGAACCCGCTTGAGTGCTGCCAAGTTCAATGAACATTTAGCATCCTGAAGCAAACACGTAGACTGGTACTTACATCCCGATCATACTGGGTTGTGTTGGAACTGAGACGTCCCATGCTATTAGTGTGCCGCTTCTGTCGCCAACAAAAACCCATTCTAAAGTCGGATGAAACGCAAACGCTCCTGCTCCAACTAGTTTTATTGACGTATCAACTGCAAAAATGGTTCGGTTACAAATAGTTGAGTGAAAGACATAGAAGGAACATACTTTGCAAGGTATACTGCACGGTGAAAGACTGTATGTGATATGCCCGAATAAGCCCTTCGGCATACGCAACGAACTGTCCAAACAGATCCGAATTACCAAAAATGCGAAAAAATCTAACGAAAAGATGTAGGTACCAGAAGAGGACTTCTTGGATGGCAAGCAAGGCCAGTGACTGGCTTTTTCAGATCCGTCTTAATAATGGTCGCTGGTTTGGCACCTTCTATAGTCCCCACAACTACAACCAAACGTGACGCATCAAATAGTTTATCTTGATACAAGAAAAGACTTACCATTTACACTTGAACGCCGATACGTTCCAAAGAACAGCCACGGTCGAAGTGGTGTCAGAGCAATGTGTATCTCCATCCCTTCTGAGATCCTGTCTGTTTTCTTGGCTGGAGAATAAAGAAAATGCGTATGCTCGGTATCTAGATCCCACGACTTAATGCTCCAATCCTGGGAGGAAAAAAAAAGAATCCAATTCATGCAAAAGATCTATGCCAAGAGCTGTATCATACCTCTAGAACAGCGACAATTACATGCCCGCCAGCAGGACTATATGCCATACGCACGACGGAAGCTCCAATATTGATGCTCGAGAGCTTACAGCCCGTGAGAGCATCAAACTCTGCAAGAAAATTCACCATCATCAGCCAACCCTCTCACATTCTTAGTAAAATTTCCGGATCACGCGAAATCCTCGCGTCAATTCGGAGAATTTAGCTCGGAAATCTCACCAGTGATGTGTTGCCCGACCGCAGCCGCGAAGAGCGCCTGCGAGTGATGAAATGCTCCGCACTGTGGCCGAGCTCCATCGCTCTGGGCTCCCTGGACCTCCAGATACTGCCTCGCCGTCCACTCCATCGCTGCTAAAACCCTATAAACCCCCTTAGATCTGCGTCACACCTCTAGCGCCATCGCGTCGCTCCCGGATCCACATCCACAAAACCCTAGCTCACCTCGCGCGAAGCTCCTACAAGCTATACTACTGCCAGTGTAGAGCTCGCACCACATTCCATTCCGGAATTCCAAGTGATTAAAATCCAACGGTGCAGATTTCCGAGCCTTAGGGCTTAGGGTTTATCGACGCGCGGGGGCTAATTCTGCCTCCTAGCGCCAAGAGTTCTCTGTTCTCACGGCTGGTATGCGGCATTCCTGCCTTCCATTGCCCCAGATGGGATTTTCGAGCCAGGGGAATTGGATCGGTCGGGCCTAAAACCCGTGCTCTTCTGCTAGCCTTCAGGCTACAAATCCGTGCTCTTCCGCTAGCAGTAGATTCCAGCCAGGGGGATTGGATTGCATGCTCTTCTGCTAACAGTCATGGTTTCGGAAGAAAGGAGTGGCTTTGAAAGCCTCGACTGCTGAAAGGCTGACAATGTGACGAAGAAGCCTCCTGCGGGAAAATCTAAACGGACAGCAAAGCCGCAAGAAGAGAACCAGGATCCGCCAGGGAAAGATAAGGAAAATGCCAGATCCAAGCAGCAACCGGTGGCTGTGGAACAAAAGCCCAGCGACACTACAAATGCCGCGAAGAAGCCTCCCAAGGGAGGAAAGGATGGTGGAGATTCGAAGTAAGTCCTCAAGAAGGCTGAAGTAGTAGCAACCATCGCCTGGCACATTCTCGAGATGATTAAGCTGGAAGGCATCATGAAGAAGGGGCTTAGCAAATCCGCTGGAAGAGTCCAGTCTGCTGCCTTGGAGAAGGAGATCGAGAGCTCCTCGAGAGTACTGTGCAGAGATTTCTCCAACAGAAAGCAAGGGACAAGTGAGCTTTCCGGCACAGCTTGTGAGCTACAACGGCGTCAAACTGGACCAGTTGTCGCTCACTGCTGGCGACGCTAAGGCCGTAGACGTACTCTCCAGCACGCGTTCGAGGCCGGATGGTGGCGGCATTCTTGTCGCGCTACTTCACAGAGGATGTGGACTACCGCTTCACGGCCAGGATGGAGGAGCAGCAACTCGACGCTGTTTCGTCCGGGAACATGAAGTGGAAGCAGTTCTGGCCAAACTTCCACGACAAAAGTAGCAGACATGCAACAGGTAGACGACTAGCTTTCCGGCCAAGGTTGATTGCCAATGTTAAACAGCTCTTTCTCAATTGTGTGAAATCCTTCTGTATATCACATCTTGGATCTGGATAGCCTTCATGAGCATGGAGGAATATAGACTCACGACTAATACGAAATCATTTGGACCACGAAGACTTCCGTATGGACGAATCCTTCACGAGTATGGAGGACTCTTTCTCCTTTTTCTTTTCCAGACGACTAGCTTTCCGCCCCATTTTGCAGTAGTGTCATATTCCATGAGAGCTTTTGACTTGTAAAGGTTGCTCGACATAAAAAGGAAAGCCGTTCGAGCAGAGCTTCGTGGCAAAGAGGAGAGAAGAGATTTAGTTCATTGAAGGCATGGGAGGGGCTTTTGTTCTTGGTGCTTATGTGATGCTCTGCATCTCAGCTTGTATACAGGCATGGGAAATGTATGAGCCCCAGGCTTTGCTTGCGTTTAAAGGAGGTTTATCAAATCACACTGCTCTATCCAGCTGGACCATGGAAAATTCTCACAGTCTCTGTGTGTCTTGGGAAGGAGTGACCTGCAGTAATGTTACTGGTCATGCTCGATTTGGGGGGTCTCAATCTCGAAGGAATAATCAGTCCGGAAGTATCCAGGTTGAAAAATCTGGAGGTGCTTCACCTCTCTTTGAATAACCTGGTTGGCCCTCTACCAAAAGAGTTTGGAATGATGAAGAAACTGAAAACGTTGTATTTGCCATGTGAAATTCCGGAATTTATTGGCAATTTATCATCGCTTGAAGTTATTTGGGCTGACATTGCTATTGGAGAAATACCCAGGTCAATTGGGCAGCTAAAAAACCTACGTCATGTTGAAATTTCCTTTGGCTATATTTTTGGGTCAATCCCTGAGGAGCTTGGTAATTGCAGTAAGCTGGAGGAGATACACATTTTCCCTGATAACATTATTGAAAGTGTCACTCACGCTTCTACCTCTTCTCAAAGTTTTGTCTTTGAGTCATTTGAATGGTACTGGGGCAATCCCAAAAGAAATATGGAACTTGACTCATTTGGAGGATCTTACTCTAAAACATTGCTCCTTGACAAGCTCATTTCTATCAAGTGATATTCCATCATATTCAAGTAATTTCCAGCGTTTAAATCTCAGTTACAACATGTTCAGTGGTACGATACCACTCAGCTTAGGACAAATGGGAGGACTAATCAACCTTAACCTTAGGAATAACAGGTTCACAGGTAGTATACCAGCTAGCTTGGGACATCTATCAAATTTAAATGAGCTACACTTGGGTAACAATTTGTTGACTGGTGCCATACCAATAAATTTAAGGCAGCTATTGAATCTGAAATTTCTTGAGTTGAGTAACAACAGCTTAAATGGCAGCTTATCATATATCTTGACAACGACTTCAATTGAATACTTGGATCTATCAGACAACAAATTCAATGGACATATGCCACCCATTTCAAGGGACATGCAATTCCTATTTTTGTCAAACAACATGCTCACTGGGGAAATATTGGGAATAAGTATTGGGCCTTTGTGTAATTTGAATTACCTGGATGTGAGTGGTAATAGATTAGTTGGGGGTTTGCCAAATTGGCTCAAGCACTGCACTAATCTAATTTTTCTTCGGGTTGATAATAACTCTCTGAGTGGAAAGCTTGGAGCAGATGTCTTCAAAAGCATGACAAATCTTCAATATGTTTCACTCTCATATAACAAATTTGAAGGTGAGCTACCAGAAAGTCTATCACAAAAAGTACAGCACATTATCATCAGTGATAACAAGTTTTCTGGCAAAATTCCTTCATTTCTTTCACATTTCAAAAATCTCACAGTGCTAATCATTGGTGGAAACAGATTCCATGGCCCAATACCTGATTGGTTGTGGAACATGACCCACCTTCACATCCTTGACCTCTCCCACAACAAGTTTGAAGGAAGTCTTTCAGGTTCTCTAAGCCAATTATATGCATTCAAACATACCAATGATATTCCTGAATGGAGACCTATAGGATTGTTTAGGAAAACATTAATGCTTATGGTCAAAGGAAGAGAACGACAATTTCCAACCAGTTGACGGGAGTGATTCCTCCAAGTTTGGGTGAGTTGGTTAGATTCCGCATCCTCAATCTCTCCAATAATCACTTTTCTGGAAACATTCCCCAAACTCTAGGCAAGATGACTTCTCCTTCAACAACATTATTGGACCCATCCCCAACACGTTTCAAAAAATTCATTCACTATCAGTTCTGAATCTTTCATTCAACAGGCTTGAGGGCAAGATTCCATTTGGCTTGGGGCAGATGAGCACATTTGATAAGTCAAGCTATTTGGAAAATCCAGGCCTGTGTGGAAAGCCACTTGACAAAGAGTGTCCCTACAATAGCAATTTCACCTTAGTGGTTTATGAGCATTTCAGCAGCAGCAGCTGGTGGCAGGAAAATGTGTCATTCTGGGCATTTACATTTGGCTTCACTGTTTTGTTGATTTCACTCGTATGGGCATGCATATTTGAAGCATATATACGAATATATTTACGAGGGATTAGGGTTTATCAACGAAGATACTGCTTGGCCTCGACATGCTCCACCAAATTGTCGACTAGTAATGAGTACAATGAGAGCTCTCAAGCTGGTCCTCAGCAGCATTTCTATTCCATTGCCACAAGTAGGGTATCGTGTGGGATTTTTGGGCCAGGGGTGATGGCAGAAATTAAGAGTAGAAAATGAGGCTGAGAATGTGATGGATCTCTAGAGGGAGACCTATACCAGAGAAATATAAGAAAAATGCTAGATCCAAACAGTAGGCAATGCGATGACACTACCAATGCCGCGAAGAAGAAGGAACGAAAGAAGATGGAAAGCCCCAAGGAAACTGTAGCTCCAAAATGCGAGAACTGGATCAACCCAGTGTTCGTGTAGCTGAGAGACAAGGGTGGGAAAATATCACAAATGAACCAGGTGATTACAAAACATGACAAGTGATGGACGTTCTCATATTGAAGGTTGCATCAGTGCTGAGAACTTCGAAGCAGGGAAACTAGTGAGGGACAGGGGACTCGTGGAAGAGCTCCACAGCTTGCTCTGCCTTTGGGCAAGCAGGATTGTGGAAGGTGTGTGCTTGTGCAATTTTTCTTTTCTCTATATGTTGGAGTGTTTTTCTCCTTTGATTCTTCACAGGCACGCTCAAGCAAGACGATGAACATACGTTTCCAATAATGCAAAGCTGCTAATCTTCCATGCGACACAGTTTCTAAAGGCTGCTGGAGATTTCCACCAAGAAGAAATTGGCCAAGTAAGTTCTTCTAAATGTCATATTGGTTTTGAAAATGTTTGGTGCTTGTCCAGGGTTCCTTTGATGAACTCCACTCCATTCCCATGACATTGCGACACTACTTGGAGGGCCTTCAAGACTGAGATCGACTATCCTCAAGCTTTACTCCAAGAGACTTATCCTTCAACGGATCACAAACGATCAACGAGTATATTTTGCTTCTTTCTTGTTCCGTGTGACTGCCCTCCAGATATGCACTTGAGATCCAGCTTTGGTTTGAGATGCTAGCGGCTGATCAAGCACTGGTTTGGAAGGAAAGGAGTGGCTGTCAAAGCCAAAAGCCAGCAGACATCCGAGGCTGAGCAAAATCCTCGAGACGCAAGAAAAGGGCTGAAGTAATACCTGCAACTGCCATCAATTACGATAGAACAAGAAGTAAGAGCTGCAACTGCCATCGATTCCTCCAAAGAGACAATAGAACAAGAAAACGGGCTGCTCTCACGGGAAAGGTGGGTGGCCGTGGTGGAGTCTCCTGCCAAGGCCAAAACAATAGAGAAGTACCTGGAAGAGAACTACGTGGCGAGCATACGAGACCAAGCTGAAGTTAGCACAGGTCGAGTGACCTCCCTGGAATAGATAAGTACGCTCTCTTCCAGCTCGCAAGCGTAATGGATAGCCTCAAGGACAGCCTAGACGAGTACCAGTTTCGAAAATTCTTCCAGGTTGCTATACAAGCTTTCCTATTAACTCTGTGTGTCTCCACGTGAATGCAGTCGGTGCAACGGTATGCGGTGTTTGATCTGACCAACTTCTATCTGGACTTTTCGAAGGACAGATTATACCTTGGGTGATCAAGCTTGTTTCGTTCGGATCTTCCCTCGTTTCTGATCAGTTTTCCTGCAGGGGGGACTATGATAGCTCTAAAAGAAGAAACTGCCAAACGGTTCTAGTTGCTGTATCTGGCCTGTGGGGTATCGCCTGTTGTTCCACACCTGGCAAAGGACGCAGCTCTACCAGACGGGCTCCAAAGCCGAGAGCGTGTTTGAGGCGTGGTGGCCCAAACTAGACCCGTGATGGCGGACGATTTCTGTGCGTTTTCACGAAGCTGTGGTCACTTCTTCTAGAGGTGAGAAACTCTCCTTGCGAATCGACACTTGTACGTCGTGACACTCGTTTGCATGCACAGCTCCGGGTGGAAGTTAACAAAGTCTTGCAGTCAGCAACGATGGCAAATCTGATAGGACAAAGCTCGACACAAAGGTTTGCCTCACTGGGAGACGTACTGCACTCCACACTCCAAGGAATGGCAGGATGATGGCAAGCTACACGTTATATTCTTGACAATTAAGATCTTCCGCGTTAGATGTTCTATACGCACAGGGAGAGAAAAAAACAATTTTCTTCTCTCGCTCAGGTGGAAGTTGTCAATTGCGAAGACGCATATTATGCATACACGGGAGCTGCAAGATGGAGGGTTGAGGGCCAGAAATGTGAGAGGTGTTGGAAGTACTCGCCACAACCAGATCAAAACAGCACTCAAGGGAGCACAGGGGATGGTTCTAGCTTCTGATCCAGACAGAGAAGTAGAAGCCATCGCCTACGCTGGAAGGCAATGAGATAGCCTAAACGGGTGTCCAAGAGGGAAACAAGTCACCCCAGAAGATAAGCTAGGAGTGGATGCAAGTCGAGCAAATCCGCTTCTCTCACGACTGACCGGGAGGAGGTCAAGAGCTTTACTGGATGTCTACAAATGCTAAATCCAACATGGAGAGCCCCACTTCGTAGCACAGAGAATGGCTGCTTCCTAGCTTCTCTCGACAGAGCTGATGCATTTCTTCTCGCTTCCTCTTTCCTACTGTTGCTCTATAAGGAAATTTGGCTTCACGTAAGCAATCCATTATATAGCGTACCATAAACAATATTGTTGCCATATTCACCTTCGGATAATCAGTGATCTTCGGGACAGGGTATACTACATTGAGCCAGAACCTTAGCAACATCCAAACTTTCAACGCCTAGAAGAAAAAGAAAACAAAGAGGACTTAATGAAACTACCAACCAGTGATGAAATACTCCACACTGTGGCCGGCTCTCGGCTCCCTGGACCTCCTCGCCGTCCACTCCATCGCTGCTAAAACCTATACCCTTCGATCTGTCAGACCTACAAGCTCCAGTTCCATTCCGGAATTCCAACTAATGAGAATCCAACGGTCCAGATTTCCGAGCCCTAGGGGTTAGGGTTTATCGACAAAGATGCCGAGGCGCGATGGCGCTGCCGGGAATGAATCTCTCCCTCGACGTGCGCGGCCGAATCCTGCCTCCTAACACGTCAGCGCCGAGAATGGGAGCTCTCAAGGCCAGCAGTTCTCTGTTCTCGCGGCTGCTGTGCTCGTCCTCGGCGGCATTCCTTCCTTCGATTGCCCCAGGTAGGATTTCGTGTGGGATTTTCGAGAGCGGGAGCCAGGGGCGATGGGGGATTGCACAGTCAGGCCAGAAATTCGTGCTCTACCAATTCTCCAGAGATTTTTCTTCCGCTAGCAGTAGAAGATGGTTTCGAAGGAAAGGGAAGAAGGGAGCGGCTTTGAACGCGTCGACTGCTGAAAGCCAGCAGACTGCCGGGGCCGAGAATGTGGCGAAGAAGTCTCCTGGGAGAAAATCTAAAGGCACAGCAAAGCCGGAAGAAGAGACCCAGGATCCCCAAGCGGTAGATAAGAAAAAGGCCAGATCCAAGGTGGCTGTGGAACAAAAGCCCAGTGACGCTACCAATGCCACGAAGAAGAAGAAGAAGAACGAATCGAATGCTACGAAAGAAGATGACGGAGGAAAGGTGAAAAGTGCTGCTAAAACAACGAAGCCCAAGGATGCCGCGAAGCTGAAGCCTGCCAAGGAAGTAAAAGATGGTGGAGATTTGAAGGAAGCTCCAAGTAAGAGAAGCAAGAAGAAAGCTGAAGTAGTAGCTGCTACTACCATCGATTCCACCATAGAGACGGGAGAACAAGAGAACGGGGCCGCGCTCTCTGGAAAGGTGGTGGTCGTGGTGGAGTCTCCTGCCAAGGCCAAAACGATCGAGAAGTATCTGGGAGAGAACTACGTGGTGGTGGCGAGCTATGGTCACGTAAGAGACCTGGCAGCACGCTCCGGCTCGGTTCGTCCCCAGGACGACTTTGATCTGGTCTGGGAAGTCCCGGACACTGCAAAGTCGCGCTTCAACCAGATCAAAACAGCGCTTAAAGGAGCACAGGCGATGGTTCTAGCTTCTGACCCGGACAGGGAAGGAGAAGCCATCGCCTGGCACATTCTCGAGATGATTAGGCTGGAAGGCATCATGAAGAAGGGACTGAAGATCCAGAGGGTGACATTCAACGAGATAACCAAAACGGCTGTCCAGCAGGGAATGAAGTCACCCCGAAACATAAGTCAGGAGCTTGTGGACGCGTACTTGGCGAGACGAGCACTCGACTATCTCATCGGTTTCGACATCTCTCCGCTCCTGTGGCGGAAGTTGCCGGGTAGCAAATCCGCTGGGAGGGTCCAGTCTGCTGCTCTGTGTCTCCTCGCTGACCGGGAGAAGGAGATCGAGAGCTTTACTCCTCGCGAGTACTGGACGGTGGAGGCAGAGATTTGTCCAGCAGACAGCAAGGGACAAGTTAGCTTTCCGGCACGACTTGTGAGCTACAACGGTGTCAAACTGGACCAGTTCTCGCTCACAGGTAGCGAGGCCGAGGCTGCTGCCAGCTACATCGGGCAGAGCTCCCTCAGAGTTGATGGCATGAAGAACAGTGTTATACGAAGGAATGCTCCGGGACCGTACATTACATCCTCGCTACAGCAAGACGCATCAAGCAAGCTTGGATTCGGTGCTTCCAAAACGATGCTTCTGGCGCAGAAGCTTTACGAAGGTGTCAAGCTTCCAGATGGTGAACTGGTCGGGCTCATAACTTACATGAGGACGGACAGCATGCAGCTGTCGGCTCAAGCCATCGAAAGCATTCGAAAGTTTGGCGAGGAGAGATATGGCAAGAACTACGTCCTCAGCAGTCCCCGGAAGTTTTCATCCAAAGTGAAGAACGCCCAGGAAGCTCACGAGGCAATAAGACCGACAGGCATCGAGCGAATTCCATCGGAGCTGGCGAAAGTTTTGGAGCAGGATGCGTTGCGGCTGTATGCTCTCATCTGGAGGAGAACGATGGCGTGTCAGCTGGAGCAAGCCGTGTTTAATCACGTCTCTCTGGACGTGGAGGACCCGAAAGGCGTTGTGAGGCTGCGATCGACAGCATCGACCATGGAGTTTCCAGGCTTTCAGATCGTCTACAGGGACAAAGACGCCCTCGCCGGTGACAACGAAGAGGAAGAATCAGCCACGGAGAAGAAGCTTCCATCTCTCAAAGCTGGCAGCTGCGTCTCAGCCATAGACGTCAAGCACAAGCAGCACTTCACGGAGCCGCCACCTCGATACACAGAAGGAAGCTTGGTGAAGAAGATGGAAGAGCTTGGCATCGGGAGGCCGTCGACGTATGCTCACGTCCTCAAGACTCTCCAGCTGCGGCAGTACATGCAAATCGAGAAGCAGCGGATCATCCCACGCGTTCGAGGCCGGATGGTGGCGGCGTTCCTCTCGCGCTACTTCACCGAGTTTGTGGACTACGGCTTCACAGCCAAGATGGAGGAGCAACTCGACGCTGTCTCATCTGGGAGCATGAAGTGGAAAGAAGTGTTGCAGCAGTTCTGGCCAAACTTCCACGACAAGGTGACATCCACGGCCAAAGTTCCGACTCAACAGGTAGCGGACATGCTCGCCAGCCTCTTCTCGGACAAGCTCGCTGGAAAAGACAAGACGTGCCCGAATTGCCACACCGGCGAGCTCCAGCTCAAGCTCACGAAGTTTGGAACTGGCTATTTCCTCGGCTGCAATCGCTATCCTTCGTGCCACTACAGCAACAGTCTCGACAAGGACGAGGAGGAGGAGGAGGAAGAATGCGGCTCGCCGGTGGCGAAATCCAGGAGCAAAGTTCTCGGGGTGGATTCCAGCACGGGGCTTCCGGTCTTGTACAAGGAGGGGCCGTATGGAGACTACGTGCAGATCGGCGAGGATGCCAAAGGGAAGCTCAAGCCAAAGCGAGTGAGAGTTCCCGAGAGCATAAACTACAATGCCTTCACCCTGGAGATGGCGATGGAGCTGATGAAGTATCCCAAGGAGCTGGGAGTGGATCCGGAAGGAAAGCCGGTGATGATCGGGATCGGGAGGTTTGGGTGCTACATCCGGAGGGAAGGCTACTCCGTTTACGTCCCAAAGGATCAAAAGGTGGAGGAGCTGACGCTGGAAATGGCGCTGGATATTTTTGTCAAGGGGAAGGAGGATCGTCGAAAGGTGAGGAAGTCACCAGTGAAGATTGCATTTGCATAGTTAGTGTTCAATTAACTGTTCTTACTAATGTTTCTGAGGTAAAGCGGCTTTCCAAATCACTATATAATGTTTCCAAAGATTATTCGCAATTGTTTGAATTTGTGTGGATCACGTCAGTGTATCCTCTTTTCTGACGAGCATGTATTTTTTTGGTCACGAAGACTGCCACATCTTGGCGGAGAAGGAACGTTATTTCGGAGAAAAGCTTCCAGTACGCTAACCAGGTTTGTTCTCATTTCATTTCGTTTATTTTTTTCGGCTCTTCCGCATATTTTTTTCGGTTCTCAGCTGCGGCACTGCCTGGATGATCTCTTTGAAGCAGAGGAGGAAGCCTCGCGGGCGGCTTCTGAAGCTGCTGCTGGGCCACTGCCTCGACGTTTCTGTAGTTTTGGACCCCGTTCCTGTCCTGCTGTAGTTGTACGTCGAAAACTTTCGAGACAGGAGAGCCGCAGGAGCAGCAGACGTGCTGGATGGCACTTCGATGGCAAAACGTTGCTGTGATGCCTCGTCCCTTGGAGGAATCTTTTGTTCCACGGGCTCGGTTCGTAAGCTGTCAGGTCGTGAAGTCAGACTTCTCGTGCTATCCTGGAGCCAAAACCTTGCGAATCTTCCTTGCAACAAAGTCCCAGGCCGGACGCTTGAAGTTTGCACCGAACAAGGCGAGGCTTTGGGCGTAAGAACCACAACATAGAATCCATCAGCATCACGAGGCAGGCGGGAATAATACAATTTGTGCGACAACAGCTTCATCAAAAGGCTCAGAAGGACGGTAAGTGTGGCACGATTCTCATCCATAATAAGCAGTCGGCGTCCCTTGAGAGAGGCAGCTTTTGATAAAGAACCTGAAAGTAACACGCACAGGCGATGAATGCGATTAATAATGCGCAAACAGCAGCGTGTTTACCTTCCTGAATTTTGAAATCGTTTCCAGAACTTTGAAATGGATGGTCGATGCCGATTTTTTCCATACGCTAAACCAGGCCCGGGCGTTGCATCAGAGCCTTGCTGTTCAGAAGACCTTCTGGTTGCACATCGCTTCAGTTTGGATTGCCTTTGCGTTGACCATTGAGCAGCTTTTCGGGCGATGTCCTCGATCTTTGGCCTGTTTCATCAGTGCAACTGTAAAACTGAATTTGCAAGTTTAACAAGCTCAGACCTGTTTGTGATCAATTGTCCTCGGAGTGTTGTATTTCATAGCGTTGCTGCGAATTAAATTAACATCCCTCTGCAATAGGCACAATTAGTCAATAATTCCAGGAAGAAATACTCAAAAAGTTCAATCGATTTTGGAGAGTTTCTTTTGAAGTCCATGGGCTCCTTGATGATGTCAAGGTAATCTGCAATGAAACCAAATAAGTGACTTTGCAAACAAAGATACCACACAGATGAACAAACCTCTTCAGGATTAGCAAAAACTCTGTATGAGAAATCATAAGCAATGCTCGTTCAAACAAAATTAAAAACAATCATAAACACACTTTTGGAATTTCTCTTCCAGCACCTGTGTTGAGGAGTACCATCCTCAAGCAATAATTATTACAAAGGTTTACGCTAGTATCAAATGCTAATTTAAATAACAAGATGCAACACAGATGCTACTCTCCCTTTAACTAAACTTAAAACTAATCTAGCAATAAGCTACTCATAGAGCAATAAGAATGTTTCTGAGAAAAGAATTAAGTATTCCAACTCAAGCTTTTTGATGATAAGTCTAAGTGAAATAATTTATCATTTCACCTCTTTCTAATTCACTACACACCACTCATAAGACCATTATAGGAACTCTCAATTGCATTATGTAAAATACATAATAAGATCACCCCTTGTTGCAAATTATTTTTTACAGAAGAAAAGATGATTTACATATTTGATCATTTGTCCCTAATAATCTCTTTTCAGACTCAACTTTATTAAACCTCAAGTTTGCATTGAAACCAATCTAAAAACAATTTATGAAAAAGCATAGCAATGACCACTTAAACTAATAGACTAATCCTTTTCAACTTATAATCATGTATAATTAGTAATATTATTTCAACATAGGAGGATACTTCACCAGCTAGTAAGTTAATAGGCTTTACTTGTGGTATTGCTCAATTAATGATTAAATCATTAAAAATCTTGATTTATAATTGTGAATAGTGTGTTCGTGAAATTGTTTTTTGACCCAGGGTGGTTAATAATGATACTAATCATATAGTGAACATTGATAGACTAATCCCAATAAATGCAAGTTAACAATATAAATTTCTTATCACCATATCAAGTATGTTTGATTACATAACAACTTAGGATTTCCTTCTTTAGTGCATTATACCAAGTTTAGATGGTTAATTAATTTTTAATAAAGGTTTAGCAATACTAATCTCTTATCAACATGGCAGTAAAAGGAGAATGTATTTGAAAGGATTTATTAATAAATAACTTTGATATCCATAATTATATCCATGATACTTTCCAAGTTTCAATTGCTTCCATCTGAAGTTCATTTTCATAATTGATTGTTTAAACAAAACAAGATGATAACTCTTGGTGGAAGATAAAAGTGCAATCATTTATATGCTCTAAAGTAGGACACAAACATATTGAGTCCTTATTAAGGCAGAAATTTCATGTTAGTTTTACCAGTTTTCACCCTTTTTATAAATTAAAAGTTGTAAAATCCAAAGTTATCAATTTATAAACTTGAAAATTTTATTTAGTCTCTAATCCACCTTACAAGCTGAGATTTTTCTTATTTATTAATAGACTGACTGAAAAATTGAAAAGATTCTATAAGCATATCTTTTGAGTTGAAGTTATCACTACATGTAGACAATTTAATACTATGGAATCCAATAGTTTTTAGAATACTATATGAATGAACGAATAGACTTCCTATGAGTTTAACTTCTTTTTTTTTACAAATAAAGAAGTATTACAAATTAGAAGTATTAATCCTTAGAAAATAAGACATTGGGTGAATTAATATTGGAAACAAATTTAGTATTTCTTAGTTATAAAAAAAATTAACTTAACATGTAAAAACAAAGGCTGTATATTTATTCTTACTAATTTTCTTTTTAGAAATATTTACTAAGGGAACTGAACTTGATATTGGAGATTCAGATATTTTAAATGAACTTGTATTAAATAATATTGTAAACACTGTTGCAAAAGCAATTAACACTATACCAAATTCTAAAATTCCATTAGGTCAAAGTCTACATGGAAGCTTAAATGTTAAAATAAAAACTATTTTATATGATATTTTTATTTTAAATACAATTAAACAATTTTGTCCCGTATATAATGAAGGGGGTTTAGATGCAGGATCAATTATAAAAACTTTATTATATGATATGTTACGAGAAAATTATAAAGATATATTAATATTTTGTGCTTCACATATTATTATAAGTAAAGAAACATTTTATATTTATTAATTATAAAGAAATATAATTTACCAAAATCACAACAAATGACAATAAAAAATACTGGTTGCAATATTTTAAAAAATATATTAATAGGTGGATATTTTAATATGCCACACCAATACTTACTATCTACACAATCTTTAATTTCCTTAAACCAAAAAGCTTATTTTTATGTGAGTATTGATTCTAACTTATTAATATATTTTAAAAAAACAATATATGATCTTCCAAAGGCATTAAATGTATATTAAGATTAGAAGATTGAAATTTGGTTTTATATTCTTACAATAAAAAAGTTGTTTGGACTACAAATAGATATTGCAAATATTTAAATTGTTATGAAAATGCATATTTAATTATTCAAAATGATTGTACCTTAGTTTTATATTTTACATATCAAAAAAGATTTAGCATTAAACCATTATCAACACCGGTATGGGCATCAAAAACATTTTGTTAATCTAAATTATATATATGAGAATATAAATAATGTATTCTGAGTTTAATTTGAATAACCTTAAAATAGATAATCTGTTGTGTAAAACATATTATATCTCTATATTGCCCATGTTTTAAAATAACCCTAAAAGTAAATGATGTGAGAGAACAAATGGTCTTTCAATGCGAAAATGCCCAAATTTTCAACTCCTCCAGGCTTCCTATGCCTCGCTACTCAAGCAATGCGAAACTCCCTGTGATCTTAGAACTGGCAAGAGGGTCCATGCAAAGATCCAGGCCGATGGCTTGCAAGCCGACACCTTTCTCGCCAATCTCGTCGTCCAGATGTATGGAAAATGCGGCAGCATCCATCAGGCAGTCTCCACTTTCCAGTCAATTGTGAGGAAGAACCTTTTCTCCTATGCAATTCTCATCACAGCTCTCGACCAGCATGGCGATTTTCGTGCGGCGATCGAAGCTTACTGCGGCATGGACAGGGATCTCGTCCCGGACGACGTGACCAACGTTGCCATCTTGGCTGCGTGTTCCAAGCTCGGGGATTTGAGCGCTGCTAGATTACTCCACAAAGAGATCGTGAATCGGCACATTCGCCTTGGGACAAAAGTTTACAACTCGCTGATCACAATGTATACTAAATGTGGTAGCGTAGAAGACGCAAAGGGGATCTTTGATCAAATTCCAGAAAGAAACTTAATCTCTTGGAATGCAATGATCTCAGCATTTGCCAGGTCTGGGCAAAGTTTCAAGGCAGTTGAGCTGCTAAGGAGGATGGAGAATCAAGGAGAGAGACCCGACCGCTATACATTTTGCAGCATTATCACAGCTTGTTCTTTCACCGGGAGTGATGTTTTTCTTGGAGCATCTTCTTGTTCTAGTTCTTCCCAACTTCTTGGAGCTACTGGGAGAATGATCCACGAGAGAGTGATTCTACTGGGACTGGAATGCGACGTTGGTGTTGGAACTTGTCTTACGAGTTTCTACTCCAAGCTTGGTCAGATCGATCAAGCAAGAAGACAATTTGACAAGACGGAGTTAAAGAACGTTGTCTCGTGGAATGCTATGCTTGCAGCATATGCCACAGCCGGGCATTTGGAAGAACTTTTGAAGCTCTATCGCAGAATGGAAGTGGAGCCTGATTCCACAACTTACTCCATTGTTCTTGGTGCCTGCGCGAGCAGTGGAGATTTGGAGCAAGGCCGACAAGTTCACGAGAGGCTCCTGCAAAACACCCGGGACATGATCACCTCCGACTCGATCGTACAAAACTCGCTACTAAATCTCTACGCGAAGTGTGGAAGGCTGGACGAATCCACCAAGGTTTTCGAGTCGTTTTGCTCCAAGAACACGGCTGCCTGGAACTCACTCATCGCAGCTCACGTCCAGTCCGGAGATCCAAACACCGCCGCCAACGTCTACAAGCGATTGCTGCAAACTCCGGATGTAATGCCGGATGCTTTCACCTTCTCCACAGTTCTTGGAGCCTTCACAGCTCTCGGGGCGATCGACGAGGCCGCGCTCGTCCACAAGGAAATCGTTTCCAGAGGATTCTCCAAGGACGAAATCGTGCTCAAAGCTCTCCTCAACACTTATGCCAAGTGTGGAAACCTGGAGAACGCGCTGGAAATCTTTAAAACCATCCAGATCAAGGATACCATCTCGTGGACTTCCATGATCCTTGGATACGCTCAACACTGCCAGGTTCCGCAATCCTTAGAGCTCTTCCGGGAGATGATCCACCAAGGCTTGAGCCCCGACTACGTAACTTACACTAGCATTCTCCACGCCTGTGGCCACGAAGGCCTCTTCCACGAAACGCTAGAGATCCTACGGTGGATGGAGCGCGACTATGGCATCCAACGGACGCTGGAGCACTACCACTGCGTCATTGACATGCTTGCTCGCCTTGGTCAGCTAGACGAGGCCGAGGAGCTCCTCAAAGCCATATCTTACGAGCACGAGAGTGATACCATCGCTTGGATAAGTTTGCTATCGGGCCTTAAAACACAGCTAGATGATAACTTTCGTCAACAAATGATTCGCAGCTCGTAGAATACATTGGACCAAAGGATCGATCGCATCAGAAGATAAACAAACTTTACATTGGCGATGAAAAAATCGGATTTTTGGCAGCGATTCACCCCCAGTAGTCACACTTGACGTGCTTAGCGAACCAAATCGCGATGTCTTCCACACAAGCTTGCGCAAGCTTCGTGTCGAGGAAGCAGTCGATGGTCGCAAAGCCATGGACGGCGTTCCTGTACGTGAGAAAGCTCGCGTCCACGCTCACCATCTTGAGAGCTTGGACGTAGGCCGCCGCGCGGTCTCTCAGCATGTCTAGCTCGGCACTGATCACTAGCGTCGACGGCATCTTGGAGAGGATCGAGCTGCGAGAAGAACTGATAGGATCGATGGAGCTAGCTACCGCGAGATGTTCTTCCGGGAGAAACCAGCTCCAGGCCAGAGCCAACATTTCTCTGTCCAGAAAATACGCATCAGCCAGCGAGATCTCTGAGGGGAGAGGCGTGCTTCCACCCAGCAATGGATAAATAAGAACCTGGCTCACGACTTTCAGCGGCTCTAGTTCCAGCTTTAAACTTACACACGCCTGGGAGACTTGCTCGGCGATGGTTCCTCCAGCTCCAATCCCCATCAAAGCACACCTGGTGGATCGAAGAAAGGTGTAAGAACTTTGAAGAAATTCAGCAAAGTTGCTCTTTTTCTATCTTTTCTTACCTCGAGTAATCAACGTGAGCGGAGATCCATGGATCCGCTGGCATTTGTCCAAAGCTCTCGATGATCCCGTGAGAGACAGCCGTGGCTGGAAACGCGGCTAGATTTCCCTGCTTTGCTAGCCACTTGAGCGTGAAGATCCCATCGTCTCTTGGAGCTGGGAACTTATTGTCTGGAGCGAGACGATAGCCCACCGCGATCACGATACACTTGCAAGCTTTGGCGATCCTTCGGCAAAACACGTCGTTGGAGGAGGAATCCTTGCTGCCACTCACGAAAGCCCCGGCATGGAACTGGACTATCACTGGAAGCTTGACGTGTTCTTGCTTGCTCGCTGGAAAGTAGCCGCCAGAGAACTTGAGAGCTTCTTCCAGTGCCAGGAGCTTCTCATTGTCGGAATTCCCATTGCTGCTACCGACGGAGCTTCCATCCGAGAGCTCCAGCGAAGATCTCAAGGATTCCTCGTCCCCTGGCGCTGTGTGATCTCGCGGCAGCCATCCGAATCCCTTGCTGCCCGCCGCGTCGCTAACCCCGAGACAGTGGTGAGGGAGGAAGATCCGAATTGCCACCCCGGTCGCTGGATCAATGATGCAATCCTTGGTCGCTACCCCGTCGACGAAGGAAGCATTGGGAGGGAGGCGAGTGTTACTGCCCTGGGCGGCTCGATTCGACACCGCCCTTCCATCTCTCATCACCACGCATCGCCGGATGGATTGCTTGTAGCGCCAGCTCGAGATCTTGAGACCCAGATTCAGCATTCCTCGACCGATTCTTCCTCAATTCCCATGAAAACCTATCCAATCGCTGGCAATCACTGCCTATCGCACCGCTCACAGCTGAAATTTCTTACCCGGGGCATTGGATCCAAGAACGCAAGGTCGAGAGATTCGAGCGCGTCAGCAGCCGCCGGCGTAGACCGGGTAAGCGCCAAGAAGATTGGAAAACCCTAACAGGGAGAAAGGAGACACCGAGGAAGCAACGGCAATAGAAGAACAAGAACCCTAGAAGCAACCATAGCCATGCACGAGGCACACGTCAATGCCCGTCAACTCCGGTGGGCTTGAAGAGCGCGGTTATTTCGCCGACGTTACCATGACCAAGTTACCATTACCATTTTTGGTACCATTACCATTATCCTTTTTTTCCTTGCCCTAAAGTAAAGCTCTGTGTCTAGGGTTCTTGGGGGAGGCATCAACGCTCGCCATGGAGGACTAGTAAGAAATTCTCTCCTGCGTGCTTAGATTTTGATAGGCGGCCCGCATATGCAGCGATCGCGACGAGGGCGGGCAGCCAATCTTCGATCCAGACGAGGATGCAGCTGAGGAGGAATGGCAGCAACCCCCAATTGAGGATGATTGGCAGCAACAGGAGGAAGACGATCAGCCCCAACGGCGAGAGGAATCGCCGTCGTCGGCGCACGGCGGCGCTGGATCAGACGATGGCGATGCCGAGGAGGCGTCCAAATCTGAGAAACCCCGGAAGAGGCTTGTCAAGAAGAGCGCTATTGGGCAATCCAGCAAGGTCGGGAGGGATGACGAGCGCAGGAAACCCAGGGAAGAAAGGAGAGAGCGATCGTCGCGGCTTTTCAAGCATGATCGAGGTGGAAAGGAGAGTGAGATGAACGAGATGTGGAACTCGGTTGCTGGAGGGAACGACTCCGAGGTCGGTGACAGTTCTTTCTTTTCTCCTTTCTTTTCTTTTGGTTGTCTAAAGTTCTTTGCTTTCTTCTAGGATGACAATGAGGGGCAGCGAACTCAAGCTGACATGGCTTTCATTGACGACACTGGAGTGGAACCAGCAGCTCATTACATTGGCAGCGATGATGAAGCTGGCTCGGCCGGAGATGCTCCACAGGTACTGAGAATTTTTTATTTGTCAAGTTGTCTGTGACAGTTGAGCTCACCACGTTTTTTCCTTGTACAGGCAGAAGAAGGCGAAGAGGAGGACGACTTGAAACGGATATTTAAGAGCGGGAAGAAACGAAAACAGGCTGGACAGACAGACGAAGAGATTGCAGCTCTGGTGGAGCATGTTATTACGAAGCTAGCGAACGCGGCCGAGGATGACATAAAACTAAACCGGCGATCAAAGCCTGCCATCAACAAGCTCAAGCTGCTTCCGACGCTTGTGAACTCGCTGCAAAAGTAAAGTGAACATCGGTCGCTGGGTCTTGATTTCTAATTGGTTTTTCCAGACGCCAGTATCAGAATGAGTTCCTCGATCGGGGTGTTCTTGGCTTGCTAAAGTCGTGGCTTGAGTCTCTTCCGGACGGTTCTCTGCCGAACATGAACGTTCGTACCGCAATTCTCCAGCTCCTCACGGACGTAAGCAGACACTAATGCTTTTTTTCTGATTGCCTCAAAAGATTTTGTGTGTTCTGTAGCTGCCAATCGATTTGGAGCACGAGGACAGGCGAGAGCAATTAAAAAAGAGTGGTCTTGGAAAGGTATGGCCGTGACATCATTTAGCGTGTCATGTTAATTTTCTTTTCTGTCACTTTAGGTGGTGATGTTCTTGTCAAAGCTGGATGAAGAAACGCCTAGCAACAAAAAGCTGGCCAAAGATCTCGTGGATAAATGGGTATGCTTTTAGCAAAGTCGAGTGTGTGATTAAGCTGTTTTCTTTGTTTGCCTTTCTGCAGAGCCGGCCACTGTTTCAGAAAAGCACCCGTTACGAGCACCTGAGGAATTACGATGAAGAAAGGCCTATCGCAAGAAAGGCACAACCGAAAAAGTAAGAACAGGGAGGGGCCTTTTCCCAGTGCTAACTTGTTTCTACAGGCGAGTAATGCGCAATTCTGTGGAAGACGACTTACTGGATGATGGATCCGAGTGAGTGCCTGTGGATTCTAAATGGCTTTAGAACTTGGTGCTAACGTTTTGTGCTCTCCAGGGAAGCAAAGCCTGGCCAACCCGGCTACAGGAACCACGCGTCTCGTCCGGAAGCAGTGGCAATGGACTTCGTCGTTCGTCCGCAGTCGAAAGTGGACATGGACGAGATACTAAACAGTCGCAAGCAGCAGCAAAAGGCCGAAACAAAGCGCTCGAAGGTAAGCGAACGAGTGTTCTTAGCTTCGGAATTCTCGTTAACCCGATCTTTGATCCAGATGAACAAGAAGTTGCAGCAACTGAGAACTCCCAAGAAACGAAAGTTGCAAGCCGAGAGGATCAGTGTGGAGGGACGTGGTCTCGTAAGAACTGTGTGAGTAAAGGCCTCTTCGCCTGTAACTCTGGAGACCATCTTCTTCTCCAAATGCAAGTTAAGGAACCAAGATAGCTTTCTCTGTAAAGATAAGATGGTTTCAAATCATTCGATCAACCAAAATTTAAACCACAGAGCATACCACTCAAGTTCTACTGGTAAAAGCTCATCTCCTTGCTGGATTTCTTCACATTGGCTTTATACCCCTTCTCGAAGTCCTTGGCAAGAACTACGTATCGGTTCTTTCGCACTGCTTGCATCCCAGCTTCCTGGCAAACGGCTGATATCTGGAAAGCACAAGAATTGTTCGTGAGTTTTTCCTCTTCTAAATCGCAACGCGAGCGCTTACTTCGGCTGCCGTGATCTTGTCCGGCCTCGAAATAAAGTCCTCCAAATCAACTTCATCGCTGAGGTTCATCTTGGACGTGCAAACCTGGAAAATGAGTCGCTTCTCTCGCTTATCTGGATAGGGGAACTCGATCTTCCTGTCGAGTCGTCCAGGCCTCAGTAGAGCAGGGTCCAAAGTATCGGCACGATTTGTAGCCATGATAACCTTCACATTGAGACTTTGATCGAATCCATCCAACTGCAAGAGAACACTTTCAGCAAAGGTAGAAAATCTGAAAAAAAAAAAAAAACCGAAAGAAAAGAAACCTGAGTAAGAAGCTCCATTAAAATCCGCTGCACTTCCCTGTCTGCACCATTTTGAGAATCAAAACGAGCAGTGGCGATGGCATCCACTTCATCGATGAAGATGATGGCCGGCGCATTTGCTTTGGCAAGCTTGAAAACATCGCGCATCATCCGTGGACCCTGCACAACGTTTGAACGTTGAACCCGAAAGGCTGAGAGCTTTCGACGAGAAAGAGTAGAAACTTACCTCTCCAAGGTACCTTTGAATAAACTCCGATGCCACAACCCGGATGAAAGCAGCGGAGGTGTGATGCGCCACGGCCTTGACGAGCATGGTTTTGCCAGTTCCCGGAGCACCATACAACAAAACCCCCTTGGGCGGATCAACTCCGAGTTGCGCGTACAGCTCGGGATGGGTCAGTGGAAGCTCCACAACTTCTCGAATCTCTTGCTTCTGGACTTCCAATCCCCCGATATCCTGGAAAACGAAAGAAAAGTTTTAGCAAAGGTGGTGAAAGCTTCTCTCCAGGAAAAAAAGAAACGAGAAAAGAAGATCAAAGGTGGTGTGAAGTTTGTCTGCAAAAGAGAAGAAAAATCGAAGGAACTTATACCGCATACGTGACGTCCGGCCTGAGAGGATCCGTGAGGAGCGTCACCGAAGAGTTCACCTCCAATGAAAGAACATCCATGAGAGCAAACGAGTGCGTGTGGAGAGCAACCGAGCTCCCGGGCTTGAGAAGCTCCCTGTTGACGATGCTCTGGATCCGAACATACCGCGGCGTGTTATTCCACAAGACAATCGCATGATCCCCATCGATCACCTCCATCAAGAGCCCCAGCATAAGCGGCACGGATCGAAGCATCGCTAGCTCTTCACTCGCGAAAAGGATCTGGCGCCGCGCGAATCTCATCTCCGTCTCCATGCACTCTAATCGGGTGTCGCGGTACCTGATTTCGTCCTCCAAGGCCTTGAGCCGGAGGTAGACCTCGCCATCGCCGGCGGCAGCGCATTGTCTCCTATCGACCAGCGCCATTGAATCAAAACCCTAAAGAAAGCTCGTTTGAATAGATTGCCGCCCTTGTACTTCTTTTGTGCGAGAGAGAGAGAGAGAGAGAGAGAGAGAGAGAGAGAGCTATGGCGGACGGATCGAAATCCCAGAAGAGCGATGCGTCGTCTTCCTCACTGGCGCCGCATCCTGGCACTCCGATTCGAGAGGTATCTCAGCTGGATTTGTGATATTTCGAGAATACCATGGCCGATCTCTCCCAAATCTCTAGAGTTCTCCTCCGACTGCTCGAAATCCCGGTGCTCCAGCGTCGACAATGGCCACTAGATCAGGTATCGGCACGATTTTCTAGCGATCTTCCATGGTGCTCATCGAAAATGATCTCTATAGGTCCCTCTTGGCGTCGTGGCATCTGCTGCTCCAAACCGGCAACCAGGCATTGCTAAGAATTTCTCCAAATTTCTCCTCCTAGACCATGGATTTCTCCCCTCGATCATCCTAGGTGCCGGCGTCGATCGATATCGTCGACCAGGTACCATCGCAACCCGGAAAGCTCTTCTCGTGACTCCATTCTCTAGGTATCTCGACTGGCCATTGCCCGTGAGGCTGCGATCTCCCGCGGAGAGATTCGCCAGTGGGAGATGGAGCTGGAGAAACGAACGCTGGCCGCCATGGGAAGGCTCCAGGAGTATGACAACGCCGCGAAGAGGATGGGAAGAGCCGAGAAATCGCAGGCCAGGCTCCGGGAGCGCTAGTTTGTACCCGTACGGCTCTATTTTAGGGTTCTTCGTGTACGGTATGGCCCTCAGCTACGCACTGTTTGGGCGTGGCCAAGTACTGAGCTGGATTGACAAATCCACATTCCTGGATCATGGTTGAATTTACCAAAGGACTTAGAGGTAGAATTGAAACCACTCAAATTACAAATCTCTTACAACAACATAACCGCACACAGCGATCACAGAGATTAGGTTTACATGGCCATTGGCGCCTGTGATTCTTCTCATCTCTCTGCTGCTGCTGGAGGCGCCAATAAGGCGGTGAGTTTTGTCATTCGATCTTGAATTTGATCCAGGTTTTCACATTTCATTCATCTAGTTGCATGTCCGTGGACACCAGACTGTGGCCAGTCGCCTGGTTAGTCTGGCATGTGACAGGGTTTTGGTAAGGGTCTGAGGTAGGATTCTCAACTTGGAACAAACCTCCTAGTGTGTGATACTCTCTGTACTTACAGAAATTGATTTTAGGCACTTACTTCAGTCTGGCATGATATTCTTCACCTTCAATCCCAGACTTGCACAATGTGGCCGAATAATGGAACTTTGGAACAAAGAAGACACACTCTGTTGGCACTGGCCTCTGGGTACTTGTCAGTCATCCTTGAGGCATCGTTTAGCTTCTCATTTTGAAGGGAAAAAGCGAAGGAGATATGTATCTCATCAACTGCGATATTTTTTGAGAAGCTGGGAGCAGTAGTAAAGCTGAGCGGCGCTCTCTTTCTTGCGGCTTTTTTGAAGGTGAGATCTTGAGGGGCTTCTGCCCTTGGCTTCAATGATTGCTGAGCAAGTTTAGGAAGGGCCTCATGAAACTTCCGGATGGATTTCTGTAGAGGAAATCATTTTACGTGAACAACCTGTCTTGGGAACCTTATGATCAAAGCTCCTTGCAGTTGTGTTATGGGACTTGAATAAGCCACTAGAAAGAACTCCTGGGGGGTTCGGTAAGTGTTTTAACGTTTTATTCTTTTGGTGACGATAACGTGATGTGATATTATAAGTGATATGGTGATCATCCTACTTGATCCTCTCCAATAAGCAGATCTTCGTACAAGTCGCAGTGACAAACTGCGTTTTCTTTTTCACTAGGATGATAAGAACAAAAGTGCAGCTCTTTAAAATGCGCATGGTTTTCCTATTAGGTGGTGATCTGAGGAACCTTGGTCACCAGCAACTGGCCAGCTGTTCCTCGTATGTACAATGAACATTTGGACGATGGTTCGATAGCTCGTCTGGCTGCTTACAGCTGCCTCCAGCGTAGCATCAACCACGACAAGCAGAAGCTAATGGCGGAGGACAGTGCGAAAGAAACAGGTGACACATTTTCTTCCCACCAGGTCTCGTTGGAGTCCGACTCAGAGATGCTTCCAGCTCCCACAGGTCCGGCTGCTCCTGATTCTGTTTCGTGGCATTGTTTGGAGAGTGGGCGACCACAGAGGCCGAGATTTCCGATGAAGCTTGAGTTGTCGAATGTGTCAAACTGCTTCGTCTGCGGGATCTCACCCTCCAGCTGATTGAAAGACACGTTGAAGGAGGCAAGCGAGTCGAGATTTGCGAGTAAGGTTGGAATGGAGCCTTGCAGGTGGTTGAAGGACAGGTCGAGCTGCTCCAGTTGAGTGATTTTCCCATAGGAACTTGGAATCTCACCACTAAAATTGTTGTGGGACAGGTTAAGGTAACGAAGACCAACGAGGTCGCCCATGCTTACAGGAAGCTTGCCAGTCAGCTGATTCGTCGATAAATCCAGCAGAGTCGTGGTGCGTAAGACGTACTGGTATGGAGCAAATAAATTGCCTTTCACACTGAGGAACAGGTCTTGATATAGTCGATCGGCATCCGCAGCATCGCCCTCCGGTGTTAACTTGAAACCCTGTAGATTGTTGAGGGTGGCGGGCAGTGATCCTTCAAACTGGTTATTTGATAAGTCGAGCACCTGAAGTTGGGTGAGATTCCACAGCCAATCCATGGATGTCAAGGAACCACGGAAGCTGTTGTTCCCCAAGCTTAGCACTCTCAGCGTTTGGTACTTTCCCAGAGATGAAGGGAGCTCACCAGTAAACCTGTTCCCCCGCAGATCAATCAGCTCGATGGAAGTTGCGTTTAACAGTGGAAACTGGCCTTGGAAATTGTTGAGTGAGAGCGAGAGGATCTTCAAAGAGGACAACTTCGAAATGTTCATACCAAGCTCTCCCTTCAGTGAGTTATTCCCAACCTTAAGGCGCTCCAACAAGGTGCAGTTCTCCAAGGTAACCGGAAGGTTCCCAGTCAGTTTGTTTCCTTCTACTCCCAATGTTTGAAGGCTTTTACATATTGTACCAATTTCATCCGGGACTCTTCCACTAATGGCATTCTTTGACAGGTCCAACTGCTTCAATGAACTGCAGTTCCCAAGGCTTCGAGGAATTTCTCCAATGAGCAGATTCTTGGATAGATCCATTTGAGTCAACTTCTGAAGCTTCCCGACGATGGAGGGGACTGTCCCGCTGAAGCTATTACTAAACATATAGAGAATTTGGAGCTGGGAAAGGTCACCAAGTGACTCAGGTATTGAGCCTGTGAGTTTGTTTTCGTGCATCCTCAGATCTGTCATCTGTGTCCAGTTTTCGAATGACAGGTGGGAAATCCTTCCGGACAGAGAGTTCCTGTGAATGAACAAATCCTGGAGCTTGCTCAAGCTTGTGAGCGACTGTGGTACGGCTCCATGCAAGTTGTTCGTATCAAGGAATAAGTGCTGCAGATTAACGAGTCGTCCCAGATCTTGTGGAATTTCTCCGTCAAACAGATTCGATCCTAGATTCAAACGCTCAAGCGCTGTCAGATTTGCCAGCTCCTTCGGAATGCTTCCTCGGAAAGTACAAATTCCCAGGTCTAGATTGGTCAGCGTTGTTACGTTGCCAATCCTTGGTGATAAAGTGCCGGAGTTGTTCTTCGTCAGTCCGAGTTCAGCCAAAGCCAATGTGGTTAGCGGAAGCCGAAACAATGATGATGGGATAGGACCATCCAGATTGGGGGACCAGCCGATATCCAACCATTCTAGCTGGCTGCAATTTCCTAGCTCTTCTGGGATCTTGCCGGTGAGCCTTTGGGATCCATACAGGGAGAGGGCTTGCATGTTCTGAAGCTGACCGAAGGAACTTGGAATCTGTCCACTCAGGGAATTTCCTCCCAGAAACAGCTCGATGATCATTGAGCAATTAGCGAGGGCCAGTGGAATATGTCCGTCCAGCTGGTTTTGCTCCAGATGCAGCTCCTGAAGATTCTTCAATCGTCCAAGCTCTTCTGGAATTGGACCCTTCAAGCTGTTGACTCCCAGCCAGATCTCCTGCATGTTGGTACAATTCCCAAGAGAAGATGGTAAACTTCCTGACAAGTGATTGCTATCCAAGGCAAGCAGCTCCAGCTGGGGCAACACTCCTAACTCTGGTGGAATTGAACCCTCCAGCATGTTGGCCTCGAGAACAAGCACCTGAAGATTGCTACAGTTGCTGAGTTCCCTGGGAATGATGTTGGTGAGATTGTTCATGTGGAGTGCCAGAGTTTCGAGCTTCTTGAGGTGTCCGAGCATAGCAGGTATTCCACCGCGAAGTTTGTTGTACCCGAGGTTGAGATATGTCAACTCTTGGATGGTTCCAAGCTCTTCTGGAATTTGGCCCTCGAGCTCATTGAAGTTCAGCGCCAGAGTCCTCAGATTTTTCAACTGGCCGAAGTCAAGTGGTATCTTCCCCGACAGGTTGTTTCGACTCAGATTCAGAACTTTCAAGCTACCAATGCTTCCAAGAGAAGAAGGGAGGATCGTACCTTGAAGCGTGCAGTTGGAGAGATTGATACCCACAACACTGAGATTGTCAGAGTCACAGATTATTCCGCTCCAGCTCGAAGAACACAAAGAAGCTTTCTTCTTGCGCGTCCAGTTCGCCAGGACTCCTGAAGCATCAGCAGTGATCCCGGACTTGAAGTTGAGCAAAGCCTGCATTTGCTGGTCACTGTGATTGATGGTCAAAGCTTGTCCCACTGGCAGCAGCAGCAGCAGCAGCAACATCAGCATGTCGCAGAATGCCATATGGCTCAGGCTCTTGAGCGCAATTGTGGTACATGGAGAAGGCTATAAGAATGACAATACCATTCTTATAGTCTTCTCCATACACGACAGTTGCGCTGGGGTCCAATGTCTGCCAATGTCCACCTTGAGTGTTAATTGATCCCATCCACCTTTAAGACTTTGGATGATGGATGGGATCACTGCTGGTGCTTGTTCTCCAGGCCAACATGCTGGAGGGTTCAATTCCACCAGAGTTAGGAGAGGAATTGATGCTTTCTTAGTGCAGCATCGGACCCGGAAAGGCATCCACCTTTGAGACTTTGAATGAAATGGACAATACCATTCTTTTTCATGCACCACAATTCGAACGAAACACTAAGAAAGCCCAAGATTGTGAAGACTTGCTGGCTAGTGTCAATCGATCCCATCCACCTTTAAGACTTTGGATGGGATCGATTGGATGGGATGGGATCCGATGCGGGACCGATTCTGCAGCCTTCTGACACTAGCCAGCAAGCAAGTCTTCACTTTGAACGGCCCTCTCACACTTCCTGGTCACAGAATATAAACCATCACACATGCCAGAGAAGCCTGGTATGAATATGTCGATGAAATCGTCCCAGTGAATGGGACCCCAAGCTGTCAACAATGAGTTGACAGCTTGGGATAGATGTTCGGGCACTTCAGACTGGCATATAAGCCATCCCAGACACACATTATTCTCATATTAAACTTTTTGATCACCTGACACTTTTATAATTGGTCAGATTTTAAGGTCAGGAATTTGATTAAGTGTGTCAATTTCTTGCAGTGATGTTTGTGCAGTAAAGGACACTAGCCAGCAAGTCTTCACATGAATCCTGAGCTTTCTTAGTGTTTCGTTCGAATTGTGGTGCATGAAAAAGTTGTCCATTTCATTCAAAGTCTCAAAGGTGGATGCTTTTCCGGGTCCGATGCTGCAGCCTTTTGACAAAGAACTTCCTGTTCATATTTTGTACCTTGTGCATCTCTGGCATTCATCATGTGTGGACAGCCACACGTTGAACAAAAGATTCATAACCATCTACATGTTCAGCTACCATCCATGAGAAACTCATTTGACACTCTCTGCCAAAAGCCACACCCAACCGATCCAAACTTTTTGACCATTTGCTGTGGCGAAAAGAACTTCCAGGCGCAGACAAATCAAGGGCGAGCTACATACTAGCTGCATCGCAAAGTCCTATCCGAGGGCTACACGTTTGAGGAGATTTTTGGAAAGAGCCCGTGCTACCAGACTGTCGATGAATCTTTGTTCCGCGAGGTGGAAGAGAGGCCGAGAAGAAAGGTCAAGAAGAGCAGCTCTCGCAGACAGAAAGATTGATTCCACGCACGAGATGACTAAAGTGACCCGTTGGAATCGTCAGGCTCATTTCTTCAAAGGAAGATCTGGAGATGTGAAATCAGGGTACTTGCGTCTGGGGTGGGGACCCGACGCATGGTCCAAATCCGCCACTTCCATGCTTCACCATGCTCGGTATCTACTTTCTTGGCCGTCCTTTGGGGCTATGGGATCCTTTCCGAATAAGATGTTTTCACTCTTCGCAACGGAATTGACAAGAAGCGAAATATTAACTGACTGATCTTGTAAACTAGTATGTACTGGACACTGTCAAATTCTCACGTCGGCTGCATTTGAACAGAAATGGAATATTCAAATGCAATTTTAACCGGCCTATATAATACCTATTTCACATTTGTGTAAATTTCTGTTAAAGGCAATATTTTAGTCACTTCGCATTTTACAAAGGCTTGTGTCTGTTTCAGCGACCTCCACCGCATGAAAGAGAGGCTGCTGCTTACTCAGTTGATCAGAAGCTGCAGCAGAGACAGGAATTTGGCAAGAGCAAAGCGGGTTCATGCCCAGATTGATTAGGGTCCTTACAGGGAGGATGTGTTCGTGGCGAATTTTGACATGTATGCCGCTGTGGAAGCTTGGAAGAGGCAGAGCAGATATTCAGAGGGATCAGGCAGTCGAACTTTTACTTGCAGAATGTCATTCTTCAGGGGTATAACCAGATTGGGCAGCCCGTGGTGTTGTCTAATTATTGTTGCTGTACGGCACAATGCCATGCGGTAACATATCCTCAGGCTTACATGTGCAAGTCTTGGGCTTACATCAGCATATAGAACAATGGTTCATTTTGGCTAGTTGGTATCATGTGATAAATGTCATGGTTGAATAATAAGAATTGTTACACTTTTTTTTATAAAAGGTGAGGACATTTAAATTAAGAAGTGTGTGAATTGAAAATTGTTCATATGTTGTTTATTTTAGTGAGTGATTAATACTTACAAATAAATAACAGTTGTTGAAATTTTTTAAGTTTAAGGTTTAGGGGTTTATGAGTAACAAAGAAGGATTCATATGGTGTGAGATCCACAACAAAATGAAATATTAACAGGTATGTATTGTTCATAGCTGCACTTAGAAAGGGCAATGCTTTTGTAGAGTTTAAATGTTTTGTTGAGTCATATAATATTTCTTAAAACTTAGTGTGTTGAATGGATTTGACAAATGAATCTATTAATTTATATTTTTGCATTTCTTTTATGTATGTTTTTATGTGTTTATGAATGACATTAATTTTATGCTATTTGTGTGAGCTTATGTTATGCTGACTATTTTTTACACATTATTAATGTTTAAAAATCAATATTAATATGTTTATTATTTACATAAAATTTTGATAAATATTAGTTGGGTCACCAACAACAAATATTAACTTTATGGTATGCTTATGGTGAGTGTCATTACATGAAAGTTTTGTTTTCAGTTGCATTGAGACAACCATCATAGAAGTGTGAGCATTTGCTCATTACTTCCTGTTGCAGAGACACAAGAACAACAAAAACGAAAAAAAAATGACAACTAATGATTAATATATTTCACAACAATATTGATTAAAGCATTACAAGGAAGTAAGATTAACATTCTTGTAAAGCCCCCGATCCGTCGATTTCCCGTGGACAGTTGGAGATGGAGCTGGAGAAACGAACGCTGGCCGCCGTGGAGGCTCCAGGAGTATGACATCGCTGCGAAGAGGATGGGAAGAGCCGAGCAATCGAATGCGATTCGCAAGAGAAAGCCCGCGGGTAGTCCGTACCATTGTACGGCATCATCTTCCCAATGTACGAGGTCTTCGGCTATTTTGAAATGGAGCATTGCATGGGAGAGCTTCTCAGTGGATGCGGCGCCCATAGCTCCGACTGCTCCTACGTGCTTGTGATCCTCAACTATCGCCTGCCATCGCTGGCGGCATTGCTGTGGCACAGAGGTTTGATCCAAATCTTTCGCGGATGGCGCGTCGCATTGTTTTCCCTTGTTCCTTGCAGCTAGGTTGCGAATGTGCGCCGATGGAGGAGCTAATCGGCTCTACAACGAGCTGGCGTTGCTTCTGGAACAGGAGGAATCGATCGTGCGAGAGGTAAGAAATTGTTAGAGGTAAAATGAATCGAATGAGATTTTCCCTTGTGTAGGTTCATACCGGATGCGATCATTGGGGATTTGGACTCCATTCTCCCGGAAGTGAGGCAGTTCTACGAATCAGGAGTCTGGTTTCGTTCGTTTGATTTCTGGAAAGTTTGTTTCTCCTCAGGGCACTGCTGTTCTAGACAAATCTCACGACCAAGACACGATAGATCTTCACAAGTGGATCTCTTTCGTCGCCGAGAAATCCAATGTAAGAACTGTTTAGCCGTTTTTCTTCGTTGTTTGGCTTCTTCTTTACTATCGCGTGTGTGTTCTTCGTAACAGATGAAGATCTTGGTGGTGGGAGCGTTGGGTGGAAGATTTGACCACGAGATGGGAAACATCAACGTACTCTTTTCCTTCAGGAGCTTCCGGATCATGGTCTATTTTCTTCCTAGAGACGTTCTTCACACCATCCACGTCTCGCCCGAACTTGAAGGGCCAAATCCTCTCGGCAAGACTCAAATTCGTAAAGTACTTCCACCATTCCTCTCGATAAAATCACTGTTTCCTCGCTTACTTTCACTTTCACTATCACTTTCTTTTGTTCTCACAGTGATTTCAAAGCAAGCATTAGGGGATCATTCTCGCTCCGTCAAGGCAAGCCTTCGTGGCGCTCGATTTTGGTGTTAGCTACCATGCCAGAGCTTCTTCGCGCTCCGTTTTAAAGGATTAACTTTGACATCATTTAGCATGTCATGTTGAATCTTTTGTCACTTCGTGCAGCAACAAAAACCATCGTGGATAAATGGGTATGCTTTGAAAGTTTGATTAAAGCTTTCCCTTTCTGCACTGTTCCAGAAAGCACGCGTTACGAGGAATTACGACTCGCCTGTGAAGCAAGTTAGCACTGGGGAAAGCTGAGAACTTGCAAGCCGAGAGATTCAGTGTGGAGGGACGTGGTCTCATAAGATCTGTGTGAGTAAAGGCCTCTTCGCCTGTAACTCTGGAGACCTGCGAAGGCAAGTTAAGGAACTCGAAGCCCAAGAGAGCTGCTTTCTCTGTAAAGATAAAGTGGTTTCAAATAATTTGATCAACCTCAGTTACTGGTAAAAGGTCATCTCCTTGCTGGATTTCTTCACGTTGGCTTTATACCCTTTCTCGAAGTCCTTGGCAAGAACTATGTATCGGTTCCTACGCACTACTTGCATCCCAGCTTCCTGACAAACTGCTGATATCTGGAAAGCACAAGTTCGTGGGTTTTTTCTTGTCAAAAGTCCTAATGAGCGCTTACTTCGGCAGCCGTGATCTTGTCTGGCCTCGAAATGAAGTCCTCGAAATCAACTTCATCGCTGAGGTTCATCTTGGACGTGCAAACCTGGAAAATGAGTCGCTTCTCTCGCCGATCTGGATAGGGGAACTCGATCTTCCTGTCGAGTCTTCCAGGCCTCAGTAGAGCGGGGTCCAAAGTATCAGCACGGTTTGTAGCCATGATAACCTTCACGTTGAGACATTGATCGAATCCATCCAACTGCAGGAGAACGCTTTGAGCAAAGGTTTTTAGAAAATGGAAAGGAAAGAAAAACCTGGGTAAGAAGCTCCATTAAAATTCTCTGCACTTCCCTGTCTGCGCCAGTTTGAGAATCAAAGCGAGCAGTGGCGATGGCATCTACTTCATCTATAAAGATGATCGCTGGCGCATTTTCTTTGGCAAGCTTGAAAACATCGCGCATCATCCGTGGACCCTGCACAACGTTTCGACACGAAAGTTCTCCTGTTGAGAGCTTACGAAAAATGAGCAGAAAGAACTTACCTCTCCAAGGTACTTTTGCACGAACTCTGATGCCACAACCCGGATGAAAGCAGCGGAGGTGTGATGTGCCACAGCCTTGACGAGCATGGTTTTTCCAGTTCCCGGAGCACCATACAACAAAACTCCTTTGGGTGGATCAACTCCGAGCTGCCTGTAGAGCTCGGGGTGCGTCAGCGGAAGCTCCACAGCTTCTCGAATCTCTTGCTTCTGTAACTCTAAGCCCCCAATTTCCTGCAAAACCAAAGAAAAGTTTTACCAAATCTGGTAAAGTTTCTAGAAAAGAAAAATGATAAGCTTGAATGGAAGAAAACTAGATCAAAGGTGGTGTAAAGTTTGTCTACAAAAGAGAAGGAAACAAAAGAAGGAACTTCGTACCGCATACGTGACCTCAGGTCTGAGAGAATCCGTGAGAATCGACACCGAAGAGTCCACCTCCAATGGAAGAACATCCACGAGAGCCAACGAGTGCCTGTTTAGACCAACCGAGCTCCCCGGCTTGAGAAGCTCTCTGTTCACAGTGCTCTGGATCCTAACATACCGCGGCGTATGCTCCCACAAGACAATCGCGTGGTCCCCGTCGATCACCTCCACCAAGTGGCCTATGCATAGCGGCATGGATCGAAGCCTCGCTGCCTCTTCCATCGCGAAAAGGATCTGGCGGCGCGTGAATCTCATCTCCGTCTCGGTGCACTCTAATCGGATGTCGTGGTACCTGATTTCGTCCTCCAAGGCCTTGAGCCGGAGATAGACCTCGCCATCGCCGGAGCTAGTCATCATATCGACGAGGGCCATGAAATATAAACCCTAAGAAAGCTCGTTTGAATAGATTGCCGCCCTTATACTTTTGTGAGAGAGAGCTAGCTATGGCGGGCGGATCGAAATCGCAGAGCCGCAAGAAGAAGGTGCGATCCGGCGATGCGTCGTCTTACTCACTGGCGCCACTTCCTGGCACTCCCATTGGCGAGGTATCTCAGCTGGATTTGAGAATGCCATGGCCGATCTCTCCCAAATCTCTGGAGTTCTCCTCCGACGGCTCGAAATCCCGGTGCTCCAGCGTCGACAGTGGCTGCTCCTCCAGCCAGCGATCAGGTACCGGCACGATTTTCAAGCGATCTTCCCTGACGCTCATCGAGAATGATCTCTATAGGTTCCTCCTAGCGTCGCGGCATTTGCTGCTCCAACCGGCAACCAGGTATCGAAATCCCAGCTTCGCAAGAAGAGGGTGCGATCCGGCAATCCGTCGTCTTCCTCATTGCCTCTGCATCCAGGCACTCCGATTCACGAGGTATCTTTGTCATATTTCGAGAATGCCATGGCCGATCTCTCCCAAATCTGTAGAGTTCTCCTCCGACGGCTCGAAATCCTGGTGCTCCAGCGTCGACAGTGGCTGCTGCTCCAGCCAGCGATCAGGTATCGGCACGATTTTCAACCGATCTTCCATGGCGCTCATCGAGAAAGATCTCTATATCTGCTGCTCCAACCGGCAATCAGGTATTGCTAAGATTTTTCTCGAAATTTCTCCTCCTCGACCATGGATTTCTCTTCTGGTTCATCGTAGGTGCCGGCGTCGATCGATATCGTCGACCAGGTACCATCGCAACCCGGAAAGCTCTTCTCGTGACTCCATTCTCTAGGTATCTCGACTGGCCATTGCCCGTGAGGCTGCGATTTCCCGCGGAGAGATTCGCCAGTTGGAGATGGAGCTGGAGAAACGAACGCTGGCCGCCGTGGGGAGGCTCCAGGAGTATGACATCGCTGCGAAGAGGATGGGAAGAGCCGAGCAATCGGATGCGATTCGCAAGAGACTTCGGGAGAAAGTCCAAGCCCGCGAGAGTGGGCTAGTTCCGTACCACTGTACGACACGATCCTCTGTTTTAAGGTTCTTCCCGATGTACGGTATGACCTGTCTAGGTCTTCGTCTATTTTAAAATGGAGCATTGCATGGGAGAGCTTCTCAGTGGATGCGGCGCCCATAGTTCCGACTGCTCCTACGTGCTTGTGATCCTCAACTATCGCCTGCCATCGCTGGCGGCATTGCTGTGGCAGAGAGGTTTGATCCAAATCTTTCGCGGATGGCGCGTCGCATTGTTTTCCCTTTTTCCTTGCAGCTAGGTTGCGAATGTGCGCCGATGGAGGAGCTAATCGGCTCTACAACGAGCTTCCGTTGCTGCTGGGACAGGAGGAATCGATCGTGAGAGAAAGGTGAGATGAATCGATTCGAGAGATGGATGAGATGAGATTCTCCCTTGTGTAGGTTCATACCGGATGCGATCATTGGGGATTTGGACTCCATTCTCCCGGAAGTGAGGCAGTTCTACGAATCAAGAGTATGTGGTTTCGCTCGTTTATCTCTGGAAAGTTTGTTTCATATTTTTCTTCTCAGGGTACTGCTGTTCTAGACAAATCTCACGATCAAGACACGGTAGATCTTCACAAGTGCATCTCTTTCGTCGCCGAGACCACCACAAATCCAGCAAGTATCAATGTAAGAACTGTTCTAGCCGTTTTTCTTCGTTGTTTTCTTTGTTTAGCTTCTTCTTTACTGCCGCGTGTGTGTTCTTCGTAACAGATGAAGATTTTGGTGGTGGGAGCGTTGGGTGGAAGATTTGATCACGAGATGGGAAACATCAACGTACTCTTTTCTTTCAGGAGCTTCCGGATCATACTTTTCAACGATGAGAGTTTGGTCTTTCTGCTTCCCAGAGACGTTCTTCACACCATCCACGTCTCGCCCGAGCACGAAGGTCCGAATTGCGGGATCATTCCTCTCGGCAGACCCTGCACAGCCACAACCACGGGACTCAAATGGAACTTGAGTAAAATACTTCCACCATTCTTCTCACTCTCTCTAACCTTGTTTTCCAGATCAAACTTCCATGGAATTTGGAGGCCTGGTTAGCACTTCCAACATGTTCGCGTCGGATAAAGTCACTGTTTCCTCGGACAGTGATCTTCTCTGGACCAGCAGCATCAAACCGCGGAGTGGAACTTGAGTAAGAACTTAGAAATTTCGTTCCTATGCTAATTCTATCGTTTACTGTCACCGAGTTTCACATTGTTTCTTTCAGTGATTTCTCACTTTTCTTAAAGGCAAGCATTAGGGTATCATTCTCTCTCTCCGTCATGGCAATGCAGGCCAGCCTCTGTGCTCCAAGGTTCGTGGCGCTCGATTTTGGTGTTTGTAGCTACCATGCCAGAGCTTCTTCGACGCTCCACTTTAAATCAAGCTGGGGGCTGCTAGCAGCAATCGGCCTCAGCAAAAACACCAGATTCATCGCTGCTAGTGCTCGCCAAGGAATTCACACGGATGGCAAGGAACCTCCGACTATGATTTCGGCACCCGAGAGACGCATTGTCGCTGGTAAGCCGAAAAAATCTATGTTTTGTCCCAGATAACTTCTTTTCTTCCCTTTCGTTCTGTGCAGTTGGAGATTTGCACGGAGATTTACGTCAGACCAAGAGAGCATTGAGAGTGGCTGGAGTTTTATCCGACGATGAACAAGATAATTGGACTGGAGGCACCACTGTTAAGTCACGCTATCTTCTCTCTGAATTGTCCGGTTTGTTTGTGCAGTTGAGTTCGTTACTGATTGATATTCACGAGAATTGTCGCAGGTTCTTGTCCAAGTTGGAGATGTCCTCGACCGTGGTCCTGATGAAATCGCCATACTGTCACTCCTGTGGCATCTAACCGAGCAAGCTCGTTCCAAGGGTGGGGCTGTCTTTCAGGTTTTGTTTTTGCAATACTACGATAGCTAGCTCTTTCGCTCTTTTTATTTTGTATCTTTGCATTACGGAACTTTGTAGTTTTGATATGCAGGTACATGGAAATCACGAGACAATGAACGTGAGCCATGAATTCAACGACACACCTGATTGTGGATTCGAGGACTCGCAGCATTTTGTGGACTACTGTAACGAGCGACACGACGGCCACTGGCATACGGCATTTGTGCAGTGGAGACTAGAATGGCCAGAGTGGAAGAAGAGCAGATTCGAGTCCTCAACCTGGTTACCATTTTGGAACGTTTTCAAGGTAAAGCTATGCTCAAGGTCGTCGAATCTTACTTTTGGAGAATTGCAAAGCAGGTGAGGAAGAAGATGGATGCGAGAGTTTTGCTTTTCAGTCCGGGGGGTCCGTTAGCACTGGAGTTGTCGAGGCATGGCGTGGTTCTGAAAATCAACGACTGGCTCTTTGCTCATGGTGGCCTTCTACCTCACCACGGTATGCTCGTATAAAGTCGATCTTCAAGTAATGACTGGCAGTGTTATGCAGTTGCTTACGGCCTGGAGAAAATGAACAGCGAAGTGAGTAACTGGATGAAGGGTGGAGCTTACAATGGGAAGCAACCATTCATAGCAACCAAAGGTTTCGACTCCATTGTATGGAGCAGATTGTATTCCAGGAAAACCAAAGAGATACCACAACCCAAGGTGAGCATGGAATTCGTTCACCATTATCCCTCATTTTTTTCTCTGTTCGTGTTCAGGCTTGTGCAGTGCTTCAACAAACTTTGGATGCTGCCAAGGCAAAAGGGCTGGTTATTGGACACACTCCACAGGTTGAAGGAGCCAACAGGTAAAATACTTGCCTTGCCTCGCATTTTAGATCTAAAAATCAGTTTTTTCCTTCTTTTTTTACAGTGAGTGTGATGGCAAGGTGTGGCGAATTGACGTGGGAATGTCTCGGGGTGTTCTAAACGCAACACCTCAAGTAAGAAACGAAGATATCAGTTCCTCGCAATCTTTTCTTGCTGACAAAAGCCATCGTTTCAGGTGATAGAGATTGTTGGAGACGAGGTGAAAGTTCTCTCCTGTCAAAAAGATGATTCACACTGAAAAGAAAAACCAAATTCGATCGAGCCAAGTTTTAGAACGAAAGCTACTCCGAGCCAACTTTGATTTCCTGGAAAAGGTACTCGAATGGTTTCCCCTGCTGCTCAAACTCAAGCATGCTTAGAGCAACCTCGCAGCTTTGATGAACTATAGGCTCCGGATCATCCAAGAACTTCGTGAGGAGCTCCACACAGTTTGGATCGGCTATGGAGCCCAGCGCCTCCGCGGCCTCGTGTCTCACCATGGGATGCTCGCCGGGATCACCCAAAGTTCTCTCCAAAATCTCCACTGTGGCCATGTCTTGGAGCTGGCCAAGAACATACGCTACCTCGTGCTTGAGCAAGGCGCTCTTGGATGTTTCTAGCGCCGCGGCGATGGCGTCGGTGGATTCTCTATCTCCGCGGTTGCGTAGAGCAAACAACGCAGCGTACCTCTCGTGCATTGGAAGAGAATCGTCGAGAAGAAGCTGGCGGAGCTGGGAAGTGCTTGAATCTCCTGGAACAAAGGTTTTCATGGTGAATTCCAGGAGAAAGGAGGAAGAAAGAATGCTTGCCTGATGCTGGTAGCATTGGATCCACGGACAAGAACTTTGGTACTCGATCTTCGTTCGTGGGATTGGAATTGGAAGAACTTATCTCGATTCTGTGGAGAGCAAGCTCGCAAGTCTCCCGGACCTCCCGCGCTGGATCGCTCCGCCATACGCTCCTCAAGAGATCCACGCAGCTGGGATCGCCGATCGCTCCCATCGCCTCGGCGGCCTCATGGCGGACGATCGGGTGCGCGCCGTCGACATCGCAGAGGATTTCGCGTAGTGCGGCGATGGAGACTGGATCTTGCATCTGACCTAGAGCGAATGCGGCCTCGTGAGCCAGGAGATTGGAGGGATCGCGCATTGCGGCGATGAGCGCTGATCGAGATGCATCGCCGTGGTGATTCCTGATGGCGAACAGCACCCGGAAGCGCTCGGAGATCGGCTGCTTGGGATCCAGGAGACGATCGAGGAGGAATCCCACGTCTTTCACGGCGGCCACTCCCACCATCGCCAAAATCTAAGAACCCTAAATTTCTTTTTCTAAAGAACCCTAAAAGAAATATTTCTAGGTTTCGCGATGAATGCGTGGGAGGGCCTGGCGATGGCGGCATCGCTGGCCCTGCTGGGATGGTCCGGGATCTGGTTTCTCAATCGCAAGCTCTACCGGGAATATGAGGAGCGCCGCGCGCTCGTCCAGATCCTGTTTGGTGCCGTGTTCGCGCTCTCTTGCAATCTCTTGCAGCTCGTCCTCTTCGAGATCGTCCCGCTGCTCTCGCCCCAGGCGCGATGGCTCAACTGGAAGCTGGATCTCTACTGCATTGTCGCGCTCCTGGTATTCGTGCTGCCCTACTACCACTGCTATCTCGTCTTTCGCAACAAGGGATCCAGGCGGGAGAGGGCTGCCATAGCCGCATTGTGCTTCTTGCTTGGATTCCTCTACGCGTTCTGGCGGATGGGCGTCCACTTCCCAATGCCATCGCCGGACAAGGGATTCTTCACGGTTGCACAGATGGTGAGCCGGGTGGGAGTGATCGGGGTCTCGGTCATGGCTGTTCTAGCCGGATTTGGAGCTGTGGATCTCCCCTACAGCTATCTCTCGCTCTTCATCCGCGACATCCAGGACAGCGATATCGCGTCTCTAGAGCGACAGCTCATGCAAGCGCTGGAGATGGGGATCGCCAAGAAGAAGAAGAGGATTCTCCTGGCTCAATCGGAGATGAGGAGATCGCTGCTCAAGGGCGAGGCCAAATCGACGAGCTTTTTCAGCCGGCTTGTGAGGACGGTGGTGAGATCCGTGAGCGAGGACGAGCAGATCCACAACTTGGAGGTGGAGATCAATGGATTGGAGGAGCTCTCCAGGCAGCTCTTTCTCGACATTTTCGAGCTGAGGAAGGCCAAGCAAGCCGCGATCTACTCGAGAACTTGGAGGGGCCACGTCAAGAACATTTGGGGATACGCTCTCTCGCTCTACTGCGTCTACAAGATGCTACGCTCGCTCCAAAGCATCGTCCTCCGCGACACGGGCAGCGTGGATCCGGCCACAAACGCCATCGCCATCTTTCTCCGGATCTTCCACATCAACTTCAACGTAGCTCTCTGGTCGCAGTACGTCTCCCTCGCGTTCGTGGGGATGATGATCGCCATGTCGCTGCGTGGATTCCTCCAGAGCTTGATGAAGTTCTTCTCGATCGCCAGCAGCGGCGGCGCCAGGAACTCCTCCAGCAACGTCCTCGTCTTGTTCCTGTCCGAGATCATGGGGATGTACTTCGTCTCGTCGATTCTTCTCATCCGGAAGAGCCTGGCCAGCGAGTACAGATCGATCATCACCGACGCGCTTGGTGGCGACATCCAGTTCAACTTCTACCATCGCTGGTTTGATGCCATCTTCGTCGTCAGCGCGCTCCTCTCGATCCTCCTCTTCGCCGTGCAGTACACTTCCAAGCAGGCCGACGACAAGCACCCAGTCGATTGAGCGCCCTCCGAGAAAAAAATTCGGTTTTTACGCTGCTCGAGCGTGTTTCCACCAGATCGATCGAGTAACTCAGGTTGTTCCTCGTTTTTTCCTTGCTCGACCACTGATCTAGCTCTGTGTTTTTCTTGATCTGTATAGGAGTTTTGCAAAATTTGATGGTCTGGCCACGAAGGTTTCTTCGTGTTTGTTCAAAGGTTTGCATTTTAAGTAGTTTCTTTCTCTAATGTGTTTTTCTTTTTCCTTTTCTTTTATTTCTCAGGCTCACAAAGTGAAATGTCATTCGTTCCTCACAAAATGAACGTAAGTCCTTTTTCATGATTCATTCCTAGAGATCGATTTCTGTGTTTTTTTTTTCTTAAAATCTTCGTCTTTTTAGTCATGGCACTGCAAGCGTAGGAACGAACGCAATGGCTATGTCGCTTACTCCCTCCATCAAAACACTTGCCTGGGCAAACACACCCCAGTACGATTGAATAAGTTGGTCGCTCCTCAAGGTGATACTCAATACTTTCATCGAACATCTTTTCACGCACAATACAAACCTGTGTTGGAGCTCTTCCGATACAAACTTGGGTGTAAGCCTCCATCCCGTAAAGAATAGCTCCCTCTCCTTTGTGCGAGAAGGACGAGCTTTCCAATCCTTCGACTTGGAATGATAATCCATGACGAACTCCTCAAATACTACAGCCACATGGTAATGCCCCGACCTCTTGACTATCATCAGGTATCTGCACGGCTCCTCCTTGACATCGATCCGGGGAAGAACTCTCCACGCATTCGTGAGTGGATTTCCAACAGCTAAAGTCATGGCCTCGCCGCCAGCCTCGTCCAGATCCTCCAGCCTCCCACACACGAGCCCCAGCGAGCACGCCACGAAAGCAAACCTGTGTCCCGCTGGACCGACGGAGAAGGAGCCATGATCAAGCTCCCTGCCATGGTCTTTGAGGATAGCGTCCAGTGAAGTATACCAGAGCAAGCGCTGGCCAACTTGTAGCACAACCCATGGCTCTGGCTCTGGATCTGGATCTTTGGCAGTTTTGCGAGCCACAAGCTCCTGCGAGTGTGCAAGGCGATGCCATCGCTTGCAGACGCGCCCGGCTTTAAGGATTATAGCTGCTGGGTCGAGGCGAGACAGTATGTCGAGCACCAGATCATCGGCCAGAGCATCAAACACTCCCATGCTCTTGAAACAGCAGACTCGTTGCCTCTTGCTGCTCGCTCTTCCTCTTGTTCCAAGCATCTCTTCATTCACTCCAAGCAGTCAAGGCTGGATGCGATCCTTTCAACTATACCACAGTTCGCAGAGGAAAAACCTTTTCTCTGTTTGGATACTCTTTTGGTAGAGGACCAGTCCGCTCATTCCAAGAGAGGTCAGATTTTTCAACCTGGATACTTCCAGACTTCCAGATTGAGACCAGAAAAATCGAGCATTATAACGTGACCAGTAACATTACTGGAGGTCACTCCTTCCCAAGACACACAGAGATTGTGAGAATTTTCCATTGTCCAGCCAGATAGAGCGGTGTGATTCGATAAACCTCCTTTAAACGCAAGCAAAGCCTGGAGCTCATACATTTCCCATGCCTGTATACAACTTCCTAGCTTCTCTTGACACAACTGATGCTCTTCTTCTCGCTTCTCTTTCCCACTGTTGCTCTATAAGGACAAGGTTTAGCTTGACGTAAGGAATCTATTATACAACGTACCGTAAACAATACTTGTGCATTAGATGTAAGAGAAAGTCAGTGAACTTCGGGACAGGATATATAGTGTCACCGCTACATGGAGCCAGAACCATAGCAACATACAAACTTTCAACGCCTAGAAGAAAAAGAAACAAGGACGTAATGAAACTACCCCTATAGTGAATAACTAGTATAATGTTACCTGCAGACTCGAAGAAGTTCGCACGCATTGGAGACCCTTGTCCTCCACACCTGCACCATGCAATCCTTTGAAAGAGTCACAAGTAACCACAACATAGAATGCCAGGAAGAGCTGATATTGAGACGTGAGTACTGCCAAGTTTAATGAACATTAGCATCCAGAAGCAAACAGCTAGACTTGTACTTACATCCCAATCATACTGGTTGTGTTGGGACTTAGACGCCCCATGCTATTAGTGTGCCGCCAAATCCTAATGTCATGCAAACGCTCCTGCTTCAACTAGTTTTATTGACATATCAACTGCAAAAATGGTTCGGTTACGTAATGAAAGACATAGAAGGAACATACTTTGCAAGATATACTGCACGGAGAAAGACTATATGTGATATGCCCAAATAAGGCAAAGACGTAGGTACCAGAAGAGGACTTCTTGGATGGCAAGCAAGGCCATGGCTTTTTCAGATCTGATGCTAGAGAGCTTACAGCCCGTAAGAGCATCAAACTCTGCAAGAAAATTCACCAACATCAGCTCACATTCTTAGTAAAATTTCCGGATCACGCGGAGAATTTAGCTCGGAAATCTCACCACTGTTGCCCGACCGCAGCCGCCATTGCCCCATGTTGGATTTAGAGCCAGCGGGACTGGATTGCACAGTCAGGCCGAAAATCCGTGGTCAGCCCACAAATCTGTGCTCTTCCAATTTGCCAGGCTAGCAGTAGAAAAGGAAAGGGATGAATGGAGTGGCTTTGACTGCTGAGAGCCAGCAGACTGCAGAAGTCTCCTGCGAGAAAATCTAAACGAACAGCAAAGCCGCAAGAAGAGACCCAGGATTTTTGGACCACGAAGACTGCCGCATGGACGAAGACTGCACGAGCGCTTTCCGGCGGCAAGCTTGCTCCACATAAAAAGGAAAGCATTTCGAGCTGAACTTCGTGGCAACGAGAAGAGAAGAAATTTAGTTCATTGCAGGCATGGGAGGGGCTCTTGTTCTTGGTGCTTATGTCATGCTCTGCATTTCAGCTTGTATACAGGCATGGGAAATGTATGAGCTCCAGGCTTTGCTTGCGTTTAAAGGAGGTTTATCAAATCACACTGCTCTATCCGGCTGGACAATGGAAAATTCTCACAATCTCTGTGTGTCCTGGGAAGGAGTGACCTGCAGTAATGTTACTGGTCACGTTATAATGCTCGATTTAAGGGATCTCAGTCTGAAAGGAATAATCAGTCCGGAAGTATCCAGGTTGAAAAATCTGGAGGTGCTTGACCTCTCTTGGAATAAGCTGATTGCCCTTTAGCAAAAGAAGAAACTGAAAAAAATGCATTTGCCATGTGAAATTCCGGAATTTATTGGCAATTTCTCATATCTTGAGGTTTTCGAAGTTAGTGACTTCAACAGTGGTGGAATACCCAGGTCAATTGGGCAGCTAAAAAACCTACGTCACTTTGGAATTTTCGATGCCAATATTTTTGGGTCAATCCCTGAGGAGCTTGGTAACTGCAGTAAGCTGGAGGAGATACACATTGAGCCTCATAACATTATTGAAGGTTTTATACCATTGTCACTCACGCTTCTACCTCTTCTCACACTTTTGTCTTTGAGTGGTTTGAATGCAATCCCAAAAGAAATATGGAACTCAACTCGTTTGGAGATGCTTGCTCTAAGACATTGCTCCTTGACAGGCTCATTACCACCACAACTTGCTGTTCAATTTAGGTTTTTGGATTTGTCCAACAACTTTCTATCAGGTGATATTCCATCATATTCAAGTAATCTCCAGAGTTTAGATCTTAGTGACAACATGTTTGGTGGTAGCATACCAGTCAACTTAGGACAAATGGGAGGACTAATCATCCTTGACCTTAGCAATAACAGGTTCATAGGTAATATACCAACAACCTTGGGGCATTTATCAAATTTAAGATATCTTGTCTTTGGGTAACAATTTGTTGACTGGTGCTATATCAATGAACTTAGGGCAGCTATCAAATCTGAAAGCTCATAACAACAGCTTAAATGGCACCTTACCAAATTTCTTGACAACAACTTCAATTGAAGAATTGTATTTATCACGGAACAGATTCAATGGACATATGCCACCCATTTCAAGGGATGTGCACCACCTAAATTTGGTAGAGAAGCTCACTGGGGAAATGCCAAGAACTAGTCCTGGGTTTTCATGTGCTTTGCGGTTCTTGGATGTGAGCGGTAATAGATTGGTTGGGGGTCTGCTAAATTGGCTCAAGGACTGCACTCATCTATATTTTTTTCAGGTTGATGATAACTCTTTGAGTGGAAAGCTTGCTGCAGATGTCTTCAAAAACATGACAAGTCTTGAATATGTTTCACTCTCACATAACAAATTTGAAGGTGAGCTACCAAAAAGTCTATCACAAGAAATATAGTACATTATCATCAGTGATAACAATTTTTTTGGGAAAGTTCCTTCATTTCTTTCACATTTCAAAAGTCTCAGAGTGCTGAGCATGGGTGAAAACAACTTGCATGGACCAATACCTGATTGGTTGTGGAACATGACCCACCTTCACGTCCTTGACCTCTCCCGCAACAAGTTTGAAGGATGTCTTTCATGTTCTATAAGCCAATTAGATGCATTCAAACATATGAATTTTAGTGATCAAGAATGGGCACCATTATGGCTTATGGTCAAAGGAAGAGAACAACAATTTCCATATTTTGATCCATCAAATACCATCCTTGATCTGTCATCCAACCAATTGACAGGAGTGATTCCTTCGTATTTGGGTGAGTTGATTAGACTCCGCATCCTCAATCACTCCAATAATCACTTTTCTGGAAACATTCCCCAAACTCTGGTCAAGATAGTACAGCTAAAGCAGCTGGACTTCTCCTTTAACAACATTATTGAACCCATCCCCAACACGTTTCAAGACCTTCATTCATTGTCATCTCTGAATCTTTCATTTAACAGGCTTGAAGGTATGATTCCATTTGGACCCAGGCAAATGAGCACATTTGATAAGTCAAGTTATTTGGAAAATTCAGGCTTGTGTGGAAAGCTATTCGACAAAGAGTGTCCCAGCAATAATTACTCTACCTTGCTGGTTTATAAGCACTTTAACAGTAATAGCAGCTGGTGGCAGGAAAATATGTCATTATGGGCATTTACACTTGGCTTCATTGTTTTGTTAATTTCACTCGTATAGGCATGCATATTTAAAATATATATACGAGCATATTTACGAAGGATTAGGGTCTATGGAACTCCACAGAATCGTCAACTAGTAACATGTAAAATGGGAGCTTAATGGGAGCTCTCAAGCTCATCCTCAGCGGCATTTCTGACTTCCATTGGCCCAGGTAGGGTATCCAAAGAACCCAAGGTCTTGTTGCAAATGGCTGAACAAAACAAGAAATTCAAATACTTACTGTTTAATGTTTAGTACCTGGCAGACAGGGAGATCGTGCAAGTGATGACTCATGCGGTAGTCTAAATGAAGTAGTGTCTCTTGGTTCCCATGTTTCAAACCAAATAGCATAAGTGTCAATATTATGGCATGTGTGCTTACTCCATACAAAAATGCCTTTCGCACAAAGTCGGACATTGTCATGCTGTTAAAGACGTGGTTACTGTATCTGATCAATTGTATGATGCTTACCCTTCCGTTGCATCTGCAGCTCATAGTCAGAAAGAATGCCAGCCGAGCCCAAAAGTACAAGTTTTTCCTTCAAAACAGATCTTATATCTTAGCTCCAAATCATTTCAACAAATGCTAAATCCAACCTGGGGAGCCCGTAGCACTTCGTAGCACAGAGAATAGCTGCTCCGTAGCTTCTCTCAAGAAAAGAAAACAAGGACGACTTAATGAAACTATCTAGTGAATAGCCAGTATGAAGTTACCTGCAGACTCGAAGAAGTTCGCACGCATGGGAGGCTTATTCGAACTCAGAATGACCCTCGTCCTCCACACCTGCACCATGCCATCGTTTGAAAGAGTCACGAGTAACCGCAACATAGAATGCCAGGGAAGAGCTGATATTGACTCTTGAGTACTGCCAAGTTTAATGAACATTAGCATCCACAAGCAAACAGGTAGACTTGTACCTGCATTCCAATCATACTGGGTTGTGTTGGGGCTTAAGACGTCTCATGCTATTAGTGTGCCGCTACTGTCGCCAAGAAAAACCCCTTTCTAATGTCGGATGAAACGCAAACGCTCCTGCTCCAACTAGTTTTCTTGACGTATCAACTGCAAAAATGGTTCGGCTACAAATAGTTGACATAGAAGGAACATACTTTGCAACATATACTGCACGGTGAAAGACTGTATGTGATATGCCCGAATACCTTCAGCATGCGAAACGAACTGTT